ACGCGGAGGAAATTTTAAACAGTTTGTGGGCAACGGTATAGGTTTGAGCGTCTCATTTCCAAAGCTGCTTTAAAAATCTTCAGCTTCCAATTTTCTTTCAGCTTCGTGTAATACTTAATAAACTGGCTCTACTGCTTGAATTGCAGATTCGCTAAAAATTTAAAAGCGAAAGAAATTAAAAAAGATTACTACATCTTTTTAAAACACGTTTCCGAGTACAGCTCCATCGTCGAGCTCTATTTATAAATTTAGGTTTTACCTACGGTTTATGAATTTCGACAGCACTAACAACTTATATTGTATCTATATTCTACAATTTTCGATCTGACGATGGAGCTAGACTCCGAAACGTTTTGTAAGAAGATATGATGATTTTTTTCCTTTGCTCATATATTTTTTGGGTTTTATAGACCGGGACCTTTATATTGAGATCCAAAAAGGAATCTACCGAATATAAATAAAGTATTGATGGAACATTCGATCATATTCCTGCACATTTTTAGATATAAATTCCTGATGCAAATCACACTAGATGCACTGGGAATTGAGAACCATAAACTCATGCAATACGCAAAACTGTGCAAGTGACGGGCTTTCTGATATGGCCGTTCCGCTTATCACTAAATTATCAGTTGTGGGTCACTGACGCAATCAACAAAATATCTCGATCAAAAAATAGTATGATGGAAGCGAACACAAAAAAACGTGAAAGGACCATGTACATATAATGATAATCTTCAAGATTTATGTTTAAATTTATTTACGATTCCCCCTTTTATTTGCGAACGTGCTCAAATAAATCGATCTCAAAGAATTGTATAACTTCCTATACTTCTATGCATTGAAATTTTTTCACGCAATTTTCCCGACAGCGTTGACCAGCACCAGCTTTGAATCCTTCACATGGCGCAACACAACACAACTCGAAGTCTGCTTCTACGACGTGCCGACCACAACTAATCCAAAGACAAATAGGTTGAATGTTGCTCCAATAGACTTTACCTACGAGACAATTTCCATTGATTGTAACGGCACTCCCTTCACGTTCGTGTTCGATAACAACGAAACCGACGTTATCTCTTTGCCTGGCTGCGCTGAGCAAGTTGATGGAGGGCTTCTCTGCGGCGCTGTTGAAGTTGATCCCAACACGCTGAGCTACGACACATTGCAAACATATCAGGTCTTCACCGAAAGCTTGAGGGCCTCGTCCAAGTTTCGCATGTTTAGTGAGTTAAAGAATAAGGCGTAATAATGTGATTGCCATGCTAAAATTTAAGTGAACCAATATGAATAACAAGTTTTATAGCAAGTTGTAATATATTTAATTAATTTCAGTCACAGCCTCAACCTTAAATAAGCTCGAACGTTTTTATCCAAAATTTGTTTATTTAAAAAATGGCAATAGATATTAGGAATACAAAGCACTGATTTCTGCCTAAAAGACTGTGCTGAGAATGTTTTCAACTTAACAATTTTCACGCAACGGAAGCAAATATCCGCTTCTCTAATCATCTTTCTCCCGCCATCAAATAAAATTTGAATTCGTAGCTTAATAGTTCGAGAGTATTTAATTCCTTCAAATTATGGGCCTTTAGTAAGTTTTTCATGTATAATTCGAACATTTTTTACAGTAAAACCTGAGGTCCTTTTCATGGATCGCTTGGACGAGGCGCAGGTAACAATGGTAAGGGGTGTGGGCGCCGATTACAACATCACCGACTGCACTTTACTGACCACCTCAACCTGCTACTTCTCTGACCTCAGTGTTATTGACCTCCTCTGCACCAACACCCCCGACGAGCAGGGAGGGGAACTCATCCGCGTGTGTGACGCCTCGTTTGACGAGGCGGTCGTTGCTAATCAAAGTAAGTTGCATAGTCAAATACTTGCAAGATATGAAACTTTATAATTATTGTTATTACTGTGTCATTGTTTCCTTAATTGAATATCAACGCTCATTACAAGTTCCATGCAATGTTCATAATTTGTTAATAAAAGCGTGTCATCAACAGAGGACTATTCGAAAAAAAGATTGAGGTAGATATTTGTGAAAAATTGTTCCTTCCATCCTCTCAAAAGAATTTTCAATCATTTTACTCGCCTCGGTATTGCGCGTCTCTGTGAATATGGTTCTTTACCCAAGCAACAACGCAGTGTTTGACACATCACTTCGAGAAATGAGCGAGGCATTTTTGTCCAAATTGCGATGTAATTTCTGCTCTTTTGCGGGTCATCCTGTTTACAGTTTAGCTTAAAAAATGGCGTGTCAATGCTGCGACCGCTTTCTGCTTATGTCATGGGTAAGATAGTGTCGTTATTTGGACTACATAAGCTTTTCTTTTTTCTGAGTGCACAATACCGCAATGCAGTTTTCGACCGCTCATGGCGCTGCACTTTACCGCCAGCGAATTTAAATTAAATATTGCTGCTATGGGTGCACCAGCATTTGTCTGATCAAAATGGGTGATGATGATTTATACATGGGCAAAAAGTGCATCATTATTTAAACAATAAACCTCCTATTTCTCTTAGTTGAGCGTTCAGAATTTGATTCATATATGCGTGCAGATATTCATTCCGCCCCCAGCTGCGATGTCGTCTGTGGTATAAACATTATTTTATTACTCGTGTAAATGAAGTATGGATTAATGCGTCCATGTGTTTGGATCAAGTTTCTCACTAAGTTTCATATTCATTTTAATAAGTATCAATTCCGACCCAGCTGATGTGTCGTCTGTGATTCTGTCGTACGAGAGGGAAGCCATCGAAGTGTGGCCAGCTGAGGCTCCCTCGACGGTCCAAACCAGCGACTCGCACGTCATCCTCATCGTGGCTCTCGATGACGAAGCTATGCACGCCACCTCATCCAGGCGTGAGACTGTCCAAGGTTGGTTTAGGGGTTTGCTGTTTCATTACAAATTGTCCAACTATACCTCCAGTATCTAAATAGTTTTCATGTTTTAACTGGTGGATTGTTTAAAATCATATACAAAACAATTTCGTGCTCGCCGATTATATGACTGATCTTGATCCTGATTTGATTTACTTTTATTTTCACCGAGTAATTGATGCAGTCGACAGTGGTTTGAAATTTTATTAGGCCGAAGGAGAAATTTTGTATAATATTGTATTATATTTATTAATCTGCAAAATAGGTTTTTATTGTAACTTTTAATGTTATCTGTTTTCCTTAGATCTGTTGGTCAAGACCAGGTGGCTGTCACAAGACTCCATGGAGGTGACGTGGCAGGGCGCCGAGGACGTGTCGTATTCGGTCTGGACCTCAAACGACACCGCGGATCTGGTCGAAGTCTCGTGCTCGACTTGCGAGCATCTCTTCATCAGACTATCAAGCGAAGACCACGTAGTGCAGGTGCAGCAGGAGAGCTCCCTCGTGACGATTGAAGTGCCTGCCAACTTTGAGTCAGTGACAGAAGGTAAACGGATTGAAGGAGTTCTTCCATCTAATATTTCAGTAGGAGTATTAATCTTCTAAGAGTTTCAATCTAGAAGGAGAGTGATAGCCTAAAAATAATTACTATGACTAATGGGTCTCTCGTGTGTCAGAAAATTCAAAATGAAAAAGGAATTAACCTCAAGCGTAACTTATTTTCAGAAATGGAATATTTCTTGCAATATTTTAACTTGAAATTTTATCAAAGCATCAACCAATGAAAAATTTTTTTTCTGTGGGTTGTTCAAGTAAAATATTGTAGGAATTAGACTCAAGTTGCAGAATTGCATACGAAAGTCTATGGAATTTGATTCTGAAATTTTGATACTTGGATATATCCATGTACTGTTAATCAATGCTCATATATGCAGCCCAGTAATAAGAACAGCAACTTGGATAAGATGATGCAAGATGAACAGATGAACAAGATATTTCTATGGCAATATCCAGCTGCAATACAGCTTTTAGTTGCATTAGAAGCGAGTTGATGTTGTTTTAGGTGCATATAGTACTCAGCAGTTTATAATGTTTTACGCCTGTTGCAAGATTCATTTCAGTGATCAAGAGAAAATGACTCATCTTCCAAGAGATATCATTGTTTGTATTCGTGTGTAGATTTCATTTAACTGGTGAAAAATTTTCCCATAGTTACATTTGTTCAATTTCCTGTTTTTAAAAAACTTTAGCCCTTAATACGTACGGGAACAGCCTTTAGGGCGTAATAAATTATACCATGTGAATAAAAAATATAAATGCATATCAAACAACTCCATAAAAAACCGTAAAAGACGAATTACTGATCTAATTTTCGAAAGTTTCTATCTATAAATGTCAAATATAAATTTTTTAAGTTAATCTAAATTTTTGATAGAATTTCTTCATACCCGTTGCAAAATGAAATTACATGGAAAAATTTTTTGACTAATTCCTGCCTTTTTCATCCTCAAAATCAATCGTTAAATACGTACACCATATTTATTAATATTCACAACAGAATTATTTTTCCTCCGCAGCTAATTTCGATTTGAGTCTTCACCACACCACAAGCGACAGCTTCTCCAGCATTGAGACGAAAAGCTGCGTCACAAGCACATCAGATCAGTGCAAGCCTGACACTTTCTTCTTGGTGGACAGCCAAAACATCGCCCTCAATTCCACTGTACGTCTCAATAACTGCGCCTCCATCAACGTCAATAGCAGTTCCTTCGACACGAACGGACTTACGAGGGTCCTGGTAACTGGGAAAAGCAGCGACCAAGTTTGCAGCAGCCAGTTCGACCTTTATTTTTTCCGTGAGTTCTTTGTTTAGTCCTGAAAACTACAGTGACTAATAATTTTATATTAAAACTATTCGTAATGATTAAAAATATAATAAAGCCCTTTTGTCGTCGCGGAAATGTCTAGCTTTCATAAATATTTTTAAGCTTCTCAAATATACATATATTTAATAAATAAATTGATCTTTTTAGTTCCACAAGTGGATCAATTGAGTGACGCTGCAGGAGAAGTTTTTTGGCGCAACAGAAATTCGGCCAAAAGTTACGAGATGAAGTCGATGCTCGACACCGACNAATTAGGTAAGTTATATATATGGTGAGTTTATGTCAATTTAAAATCCCAAAAGTTACATTCATGTCCAGAAGATTTAAGCAGATATAGAACTAGAAATAATTTGAGTTTTATCAGAACGATTTCAATTTTTACTCATCAGATCTGAGCGAGGACCGCGGCATCTACGGACTCGTTAAGAATAATTCGGACTTATTTGACCTGATGTGCTCTTGGAAACTCGTAGACGACTCAACAAATCTAGAATCGTATACAGTGAATTTACTTAATCAGTTAGGAGAAAAAATTAAATCAGACGTCTTAGACATCAATTCAACAACGTACGTTTTTGAGGGTCTCACTGAAGGCTTTTACATGGCATGTGTCGCGATCAACGGTCCCTCTATTACCAGCGGATTAGTTTGCAGTGACTCCATCCGAGCCACCGCCGACGTAAGCACCGGTGAGTAATACCAAGAGATTATTTATATTGAATTAAAAACCATATTCTAAGATTAAAGAAAAAACAGTTCAATATTAATTTCAGTTTATATGGGGCAATCTAATCAAACGTTTTGTTGTTGTTGATTATAATTACCATAGTGCATCATTTACAGCTAAATTTTGCGCGATTTTGCCTTGTAACTACTACCTCAACATGAACTTATTGATTTTTCAGAGACAATTCCTAAGGTTGAGACATCCTCGAGTCTCATTACCAGTGGCAATCAAGTGAAAATAACGTGGAGCTTAGCGGAGGAAGACTTGCAGGATGTATCAACGTTTCTCATTGAATACAAACTGTCGTCCGAAATGACGCAGAAGCGTCCAATCAGGCAAGCTTCTCCTCCTATGCATCCGGATTTAAATATCGAAGAAAGCGGAAATTCAGGACTTGCTGGCTTCAGGATCGTCCCTGCCTCGCAGACTTCGGCTGACCTTCCACTCACCGCGGGCTCTTGGAACATTTGTCTTTCAGCGATGAGAGGAAACCAGGCGGGTACTCCGCAATGCCAAGAGACAAAAATAGGTAAGAAATTTTTTGATTGTGAGTCTGGACACAAACTCTGATGCTATAGAGACTTCTAAACTCTAAAAAATATTTGATTTATAATATATGTAATATATTTGTATCAATTGCTCGCATTATTTAATTAGGAAAAAACAAGTGAGAACACTTACCATAAATCATGTCTGAAAATATTTTTTCAGAGACTCCACCAGAAGTCGGAGCTCCAGAGAGCCTGTCATACGACGAGACGAGCTACCTGCTGACGTGGGAAGCTCCATCCGCCTCAGACGGTCTCATTTACTACATCGAGGGATCAAGAGGCAGCTCCTTGCAGCACACAAACACTAGCGAGACATCTGTGAATCTGGCAGACTTTGTAGGGAGCGGCGAGTGGTCCATTGCCGTGCACACACTCCAGGATGAGAAATATCTCAGTGATGCTAGTGAACTTCCAGTTATTATCAATGGTGAGTATATAAATGGCCTTACGCTGCATTTCTATGCTGGTGGAATTAACCAATTATTATTTGGTCAACAACAATTCTTATTTCATTCATTACTATAGTATCATTTTGGATCTGAGGAAATCAAACTCTGATAACATGAGATGTTTTAATGCGCCCTGATTGTCCCAATATCAAGTGCTAAATATGATAGAGAATCAGCATTAAATAATGATCAGTAAATGAATCAAACTTGAAATATATGGTACATTTAATTAAGCATCGTCATTTTGGATTAGGTAATTCTTCTTAAATCTATTTTAATTGTCAAATCTAATTAAATTAGTTATAACGTGCATGCCGTTAATTATTCAACGTTACATAACAGGCCTCGAGGTCAGCACAGCGCAGACTGGGTACAGAGAGATGCGCGTCTCATGGCTCGAGTACGGCGCAGATTCGGCGCCGTCCGAGGCCGTAGTCTACACCGTAAACTTCCATGAGAGTATCACGCAGAGCGTCAACTGCTCGGCCCAGTGTCTGGTGTACATTACCGACCACGATGCTAAAGCCGACGAAAGTTTCGAAGTCGTGGTTACAAACACAGAAACGAAGTTGTCGAAAAACACGAGCGTTTATTTTTCAGATGTTCCAAGTAAGTTCATGGAGGCCATTTGGATACCACGATGATCAAGGGCCAACGCTCTTTTGAATACAAATATTAAACATTTCCAGATTTGGCTCAAAGTTCATTATTTATTTGTATAATGAGCTTCATATTATTCAAGTCATTTTGAATTCTTCTTAAAAACTTGAAAAAACTCTAATTATTGTTTATAAGAGAAATATTGATTTTCAAGATTGAGATTCATCTCGAGCTATCATGTAACGAGTTCTGTAAGAAATATGTAAGCCTTCAGCCTGCGCTGCCTTGTATAAAAATTCGCTCGCACTTCTCATCGGAGAATCGCATTAGGGAAGTTAATTGTTTTCATGTTTAAAGTTGCAAATTACCAAGTCCTTTCAACGTTTTGCAGATGTCGCAGGCGCCACGTTGACGCAGTTCACCGCAGAGAGCGCCACAGTTTTGTGGCAATGCGTAGTGGGGGCTTCCACGTACAACGTCAGCCTCTACGATAGCACGAAAACGGAACTAAAGTTTCAGGACTACACAGGACTGTGCCGGTGAGCGGGATTCTAATTAATGAATACATTTCACCCTTCAAATCAATCTTTTAACTGTGTAGGAAACTAGAAGTTCCGACTATTTCAGTAAAAGATAATTCCACAATAATCATTCTTCACACTTGGAAAGCCGAACATTTCTTAGAGCAGAACTCATTCGTCAAAGCATGAGAATTGTGGCACTAAACACTCGTTAAATGAATATTTAATTCTTGTATTGGCATCCTGGTGGGGCCTAAAGCCATTTATCTTGATGAGAGAGCAGATAGACTTTGATTGTAAATGAAAATACTAAATCCATTGAGTAATGATCAGGTACCACTTCGATAACACAAGTTCCGAGGGCGACGTTGTCACGATCCAGGCTTGCTTCGAAAACCCCACTGAACGCTGTGGAGACCCACTGGAAAAAAAAATTATTGCAGCAGACGGTAAGCTTTCATTGCACGTTAGCATTATACGAACTCTGGCTGATCAACCTCTTGTGTCTTCCGACAAACCTTCAAATTCTGTTAAATTTGAATACAGTATAGTACGTATACAACTTCTACTTTAATTCTGCTTCTAATCAACCTCTTGTGTCTTCCGACAAACCTTCAAATTCTGTTAAATTTGAATACAGTATAGTACGTATACAACTTCTACTTTAATTCTGCTTCTAAACACACAACATTCTGCAGAATAGATAGTCTTCACCGTTTTTTGAACAGCTTTGTTTTTTTTCAAATTTGAATTAAAAAAGTTTGAAGGCACTCTGCTGCTCTTGTGACGTAGAAATTCAAGTTGCCTTTGTATAGAAGCGTATTCTCTTTAATTCATTCCATTAATTGTTTCGTGCAGTGGCAGTAGCAACCAACTTTGAATCCTTCACTTGGCGCAACGGAACGCAGCTTGAAGTTTGCTTCTACGACAAGCCTGCAAACGATCTCACGACTACCACTTCTTCGCTCCCGAATGAAGCGACGAAACCAATATTTTCGCAAAAAATATTACGGACGTTACCGGAGATTACAGCTGGCATTGAATCAGTTGGATCCCCACTCCCTACCAATTCGTACAATTGTTCTCATACTTATTTCGTGCTCACGTACGAGACTATAAAGCAAGGCGTCATTTTGTCTGTGGAAGGATGCGCTGAACCAGTCAAAGAAGGGCTTCTCTGCGGCAGCGTCGATGTTGATCCTGGCACGCTGAGCTATGACAAACCCAAATTCTATAGGGTTTATACCGAAAAATTAATAGCCTCCGCCGAATTCCACATGCTCAGTGAGTGTCTGAAGAAAGTTTTGCTCATGCAATGGCCTATCTGACTTTCCAGACTAAAAGCTTGAGTCCTGATAAAGTTCTCGAGAAACATTTGTTTATACAAATCGCATAATATCTCATTTTTAATGACTGTGCCCCCTTTGCTGTGTTGATATCATAATTTACATATTCCTTCTGGTTTACTAGTTAAAACTAAAATTGAATTTAGTTCTCAAACTATGAAAGTCATGTAATGCTTATTTCCTGCTAATGTGATGGAAATTTGAAGTTTGACATTCCTTTCCTATCGAATAAAGAAAATCATGTTTCCTCTTACTTTACATAGTACAACCTGGAATACTTTCCGTGGAGCGTCTAAAAGAGGCGCAGGTAGCTGTTGTTAAGGGCGTGGGCTCCGAGTATAACATCAACGACTGCAGTCCACTGTCCAGCTCAACCTGCTACTTCCCCGACCTCAATGTTCCTGACCTTCTTTGCACCAACACCAGCGACACACAGGCTATGCAATACATCCGCGTTTGTGACGCCACATTTGCCGATACACTCGTGGCCAATCTAAGTAAGTTGCCATTTATAGGGCCCTGTAATGTTTTAATTAATATCAAGCAAAGTGAAATTCGGATCGTAAAATTTCATTTCAACTTTCACTGAACGATTCAGGTAAATGCTTGACCATCGTGTATGACTTTGCTCTTTTATTGCTGTCGTTTCAAAAGTCAGTTTACGTTAAATAAAATTTTATTGAAATAATTTGAATAACTCAATACCTTTTTCCTCCATTTGCCTCCACGACTGAAAAATAGTATTTTATTGCATCTATATGCGCAAGCAAGTGTCGATAGATTCGCGCAGCGTTGTTTATCTCAATTAAACATAATGGACGATTTGTATCGAAACCGAAATAGTCAACCTCATTATTTTGTAATCCTAAATAAAAAATTTCTGACCATATATATATGAGGCTGTAAAATTTTCTCTGTAGCTAAACTGATAAAAATAGATCGTTGGAGAAACTATTTCGAAATCCAGCAGCATTTGTGTCTCGTTAAAACTTGCTAAAATTGCTAGGTCCAAATTAAGATACAATCCTTAATGGACAAGTAAAAATATACCGTTAGTCTATGTTGGACATGCTTGTGTAATTCATAGATTTCAATATAAATAAAAAAATCTAATTTCAGCCGCGGTGTCGTCAGTGGTTCTGTCGTACGAGAGGGAAGCCATCGAAGTGTGGCCAGCTGAGGCCCCCTCGACGGTCCACCTCGCCATCTGCGACTCACAGGGCCAGGACTGCAGCGCCTGCGCCGGGCTGTCGTGTCCTGTGGACAAAGTCGCCACCAGCGACTCGCACGTCATCCTCATTGTGGCTCTCGATGACGAATCTAAGCACGCCATCTCATCCAGGCGTGAGACTGTCCAAGGTTGGTGCAGTTGTTTACCATTTATTTTTTCCTGTTCTTCATTAGTAATTAATCATATATATCTGATTTGTTTACGGTTGCAGCTTTTTGAAAATCCCAAGCAATTTCATTGCAGATGATTTGCTGGTTTTACACTTGCCTCTGACATTTGAAAGAGCAATTTTGATTCTGATTGAAGGCTGAAAATTCATGTGTGAACAATTTGCCATTTTTATTCGAGCTACATTTGCCGACATTCGACGGTCGACTTCACAGTAATTGCAAAAAAATTATTGTGATTGCGATTAATCTTATGGCTATTAACTAGCAAATTATAATGTTTAAATCACAATATGTTCTGCTTAGATCTACGAGTCAAGACCAGGTGGCTGTCACAAGACTCCCTGGAGGTGACGTGGCAGGGCGCCGAGGACGTGTCGTATTCAGTCTGGACCTCAAACGACACCGCGGATCTGGTCGAAGTCTCGTGCTCGGCTTGCGAGCATCTCTTCATCAGACTATCAAGCGATGACCACGTAGTGCAGGTGCAGCAGGAGAGCTCCCTCGTGAGGATTGAAGTGCCGGCCAACTTTCAGCCAGTGGCAGAAGGTAAACTGATTGAAGGAGTTCTTCCATCTAATATTATAGTAAGTGTATTAATCTTCTAAGAGTTTCAATCTAGAAGGATACTGATAGCTTAAAAAAATAATTACTATGACTAATGGGTATTTCGTGTGTTAGAAAATTCAAAATGAATAATATGCGTTTAAAAATTAATTTTTAATGACAACACTTCTATAGAATCCAATGTCTCCGATGTTACACATGAACAATGAATTCTTAATTTTATTATGAAATATTAAAAAAACGAATTTTTAAATTTTATTTTTAAGATTAATATAAATAAAAATTGTCAAAATTATTTATTCTGTCAATTGATACATGCATTGTCTCCGACTTTACGCAAGTGTGTAAAATTTCCGATCGATTGGACAGGTAGAAGTGTGTTAAACATCGATTATAAGTTATGAAGCAGACAAAAATTTTTTCATTTTTTAATATAAAAAACAATTTTAATTTTCAAAATTATTTACTCTGTCAATTGATACATGCATTGTCTCCAACTTTACACAAGTATGCAAAATTTCAGATCGATTGGAGAGGTAGAAGAGTGTTAAATGTCGATTATAAGATTGGTATCAGACAGACAAACAAGAAGTGAAGTTAAAGAGTAATGTTGTAATAAAAAGGAATTAACCTCAAGCGTAATTTAATTTCAGAAATGGAATATTTCATGCAATATTTTAACTTGAAGCTTTATCAAAGCATCAACCAATGAAAAATTTTCTTTTTCTGTGCGTTGTCCAAGTAAAATATTGTAGGAATTAGACACAAGTTGCAGAATTGCATACGAAAGTCTACGGAATTTGAATCTGAGATTTTGTTTGTTAGTTGGATAATAATCAATGCTCATATATGCAGCCCAGTAATAAGAGTGGCTTCTTAGATAAGATGTTGTCAAGTAAACAGACGAACCAGATATTTCTACGGCAATATCCAGCTGCAATACAGCTTTTAGTTGCATTAGAAACGAGTAGATGTTGTTTTAGGTGCATATAGTACTCAGCAGTTTATAATGTTTTACGCCTGTTGTAAAATTCATTTCAGTGATCAATAGCAGTAAGAGAGAATGACTCATCTTCCAAGAGATATTATTGTTTGTATTCGTGTGTAGATTTCATTTAACTCCGTAAAAGACGAATTACTGATTTAATTTTCGAAAGTTTCTATCTCTAAATGTCATAGATAATTTTTTTAAGTTAATTTAAATTATTGATAGAATTTCTTCATACCCGTTGCAAACTGAAATTACAAGAAAAACTTTTCAACCTAATTCCTGCCTTTTTCATCCTCAAAATCCATCGTTAAATACGTACACCATATTTATTAATATTCACAACAGAATTATTTTTCCTCCGCAGCTAATTTCGATTTGAGTCTCCACCACACCACAAGCGACAGCTTCTCCACCATTGAGACAAAAAGCTGCGTCACAAGCACATCAGATCAGTGCAAGCCTGACACTTTCTTCTTGGTGGACAGCCAAAACGTCGCCCTCAAGTCTACTGCACGTCTCAATAACTGCGCCTCCTTCAACGTTATTAGCAGTTCTTTCGACACGAGCGGACTTACAAGGGTCCTGGTAACTGGGAAAAGCAGCCAGTTCGGTAACCAAGTTTGCAGCAGCCAGTTCGGCCTTTATTTTTTCCGTGAGTTCTTTGTTCAGTCCTGAAAACTGTAGTGACTCTAGTAAAATTGTAAGAATTCGTAATGATTAAAATATAACAAAGCCCTTTTGTCGTCGCGGAAGTGTCTAGCTTTCGTAAATATTTTTTAAGCTTCTCAAATATACATATATATAATAAACAAATTAATCTTTTTAGTTCCACAAGTGGATCAATTGAGTGACGCTGCAGGAGAAGTTTTTTGGCGCAACAAAAATTCGGCCAAAAGTTACGAGATGAAGTCGATGCTCGACACCGACACTGACCTCAGCCCCGTCAGCTGCTCGGTCGGCGCCAAATGCAGGTATTGGTTTATACATAACATAACATAGTGATGTCGGCTCTGAAGTGTAGGCCTGATGTGGCCTGTCGCCGATTCTTTTCCATTTCGTGCCTTGTTCATAGATCTAAACTCGTGTCATTTGACCGGATCTTTTCATGACTGGCGATAGTTTGAAGAAGCTACTAGACTTCCACCGGGTTCGATTAGGAGCTAGGCATTTCAAATCTGAACATATATTTTTCCATAGCTTTATCTAGTCTGTTCTTGAGATTCTTGAGATACTTCCAAAGCGATAGTGATTATAATTATATTATAAACACTACCGATTATATTCATGTTATTGAACAAGTTTATAGCAAATGTTTCATACTGTTACTGTTTGCATAAAAAGCAAACTTGTCGCTATCAACACTCCACGGCAACATTAAACCCTATTTAGGCTCATTTGCATGAAGAGAGTGTGACTCAGATTATCATCCACTCCAACTGCCATGAAAAAATTGATATCTAAGAATCTTTTAGTCTCCGTTGTAAGAACGCAACAATGAACATCACAATCATTTTTTTTTCTTGCTCAGATATTACGTGGCCCCTGACTCTGCGTCAAATTTGACATTCACTTTGAAGGAACAGGCTGTCGTCAATCAGTGGGCTTCTGCAAATATAGAGCCAGGGCCAATTCAAAGTGAGTTATCCGTTAAACAGATCACACTAATTTCTTAATTAAATTCTCGACGACAAGTTTTGTTACTTGAATATGATAAGAGCCTAACATTTCAAAAGATTACGGGTTTCATTGAAACAAATCTCAAACTATCCAATTGGAAATCGATGATAATGTCTAACATACGAGGTTATTTGCGTGGCTTTGACCATGCAAAATTTCGAGGTGTTATTGACAAGCCACCCTCCATTAAACGAAACGATTTATCGTTCAATTGACTCTAGGATCCGCTATCAACGAGATTGGAGCATTGTGTAGTCAAACTTCTTGTAAAATTAGAAACATGTTCGTCATGTTTTTCCCCAAAATAGAAACATATTCATAGCAATCAAGTTAAATATTAATAGAAACGTCTTACATTAATTATATTGAGCATATACTTTTCTTTGGGGTTTCTGAATTATTTTGGTGGCTAAGAATATAGCAAAATGGAGGAATTTAAGAAAAAAATTTAGTGGACATCGGACGTCATGCGTGGAGTTGTGTCTTAGAAATTGATTGTTTCAGTTTAATTTAGCAATTAAGACGACCTGCGTTTTTATTAGTTAATAACTGCTATTCATTTCCTCAGCTCTGATCATCGCCGACGAGCTAACGTCTCGCTACGATGATCACCTCTTGGTTTGCTTCGACCCCCCCGCGGGTGAAGTGTATCGCTACGAGTTGGGGATGGAGCGCGAGGGCGAGCTAATATAGCCAGTGGCAGAAGGTAAACTGACAAAGTAGCGCTTTTATCTAGAATTTGAACCAATTTACTCAGAATTTAACAGCCGCAATCTGTATGAGCATTGATATCTTAAAAAAGTCAAGGCGCCCTGTTGTAGAGTATCAAGCATTCCAATGGACACTAATATAAATATAAACAAACTTTACGCCTATTTGAATGTTGGTGCCAGTGAATTCTTTCGGAATTTCTTAATTTTAATTCAAAATTCTGCTGACAAAACTATAATGAATTTACACATATTGAGAAGTTGAGAATACGCAAATTTAAATTGAGATTCTGTAAGTTATTATTCGCTCTCGTATCGAAGTACGATGATTCAATACATTAATGCGGTAAAAAGAACGAGCAGATTTTCACTTATCAACCGTGTAAATTGGCAAGACGACACTGAAATCACTGTTCTTATATCTTTGCCCACCAATATTGTCTCGTATATTTATTTGACTTATTTCACTGCAGTTGCATTTGATATTCGTGCAAGACATCTGCGGCTGATAGAATGTTTTTCGAAATGACCAAATGAAGTCTGAGCAATGAGTATCAATTTTATGAAAACGTCATAGCCTAGTTATTGAAACTAACAAAAAAATTCTGTAAATACCTGCAGGCGGCGCCGACTGAGCGTTTAGCCGCGAATTTCGCTTGTATTCTCGTTAATTTTCATAAGCTAAATATTTACTCCAATTTAATAATTATGTATTTTGGCACTTTTTTGCCGTGTCATGGAGAAACCATATACCAAGAATGATGATAAAAGATTGTGAAAACAGAAATCATACAAAAAGAAGTCTTTTATATATCAATGATGAACTCTCCAATGTTATTTCAAGCGTTCGTTGTTGATACATAGTCGACAAATACTCTATAGTGGCCAGATTTTAAGTATAATTGTTTTTTCTTAGCGAATTTCAGCTTCGTCCTCCAACACACCACAAGCAACGGCTTCATCAGCCAAGAAACAAGATGCTGCGTAACAAGTACATCGGATCAGAAATTGAAGCTTGATTCCTTCATATTGGTGGACAGCAAAAATTTCTCTCTCAAGTCCACGGTGTTTGACGGAACTAATTGCTCAACTTTATCCGTCAGCAGCGACTCTTTTGACTTGCGTGGACGCACAAGAGTCTTGGTTGTAGGAGTAAAGCGTGGGAAAGTTTTCAGCAGCCAGTTCGATCTCTACTTTTTCCGTAAGTTGTGCCAGATTTCCATGAGAACTAAAAAAGATATTGGTATCAATGAGAAGTAATTGAGACGAAAGCTTAATCAATAATTAGAACATTTTGAAGCATAACATGTTTCACGTTGTGCTTTCAATTATATTGGCCATAGTTCAAATGGGATTGCGCATACGTGTTTCTTGCTATAACAATAAAAATACGAGTATATTAATAAGCATGACAACCTTGTTGTAGTTCCCCAGGTGCAGCAACTGAGTAACAATACAGGACGAGTTTCGTGGAGAAACAAAAATGCCGCCAAAAGTTACGAGATGAAATCGATGTTCAACGCCGACCCTGCAGTGCTCAGTTCCGTCAGTTGCTCAGTCGGCGCCGCCTGCAGGTATTTGGAGAATTTTTTTGGTTAGTTTTAATAACTCGGCTATGACGTTTTTATAAAATTGATGCTCATTGCTCAGACTTCATTTTGTAATCTCGTTAGCGAAGATCAGGCTTAGTCACTTGATGAATTTGGGGTTTTCAAATCTTCTAGCACCTTATTCATACTACTATTATCATATTATGATAAATCATTCATACTACTAATGGCAATATACTAACTGTTGAGTTGAAAATAAGGTAGCATAAATTCACAGCTCTGTAACTGACTAATATTTTATTATTATTTCATTGCTCATGGTAGACATTGTAACCGGGAACCCGTTTGTGATGCAGAAATAGAGCAAGTAGCTGACTTTGTAGAGAGCTCTGTAGAGTCCAAAGAAAAAGTTCACGAAGCAGATTTACATATCATACCAATCTTCAGTACCTCGTAACATTTCTGTTAAATAAAACTCGACCTGAACTCCTAACCTCGGAGGAGTTCCTGATTCTGAATAATGTTTAGAGTATTTAGGATACGTGTAGAAATTATCTGACCGCACCCTACATCGCCAGGAAGCCATATCTACAAATGCCGGTTTTCGAGGGGTAACTCGACTACTTGAACACCAAAACCATACAACACAATCATATTGACTCGTTCTAATGGTTCTTCTTTGATGTAATAAGATAATTTTCATTGAAGATTAGTTTTTTGTCTGACAGCGATCAACTTAATCAAATGCCTTCATCACAGCAGGCGACGTTTACTTCGCTTTAAGAAGGCGTTTTGTGCAGTTAAATGCACCGTTTTGCTGATTTTGTAAATTGTTGAATTATTCTTAATATGAAGCTCCAGTCTCTAGCGCAATTGAGGGATTCATTTAAAACAATTCGAGGTGATCTTCAAGAATTTCTATTGTGGGTACTTATGAGTTGGTTAGGGCATTATATATATAACAAACACCTTATACTAATACCAGTAACCTTATACTAATCCTTACAATGTCCTTACAATGTCGTAGTCCATTTTTATAGATCATCCATGTATTTTCTGCAAAGAAAAATACAAAAGTGTGATGAAATGTTTTAGCTTGGAGGTGACTATAAATGTTGTGTTGAAAATAGCCTTGGACTTCATCTTTACGGATGGTAAAGGAAAAGAAAAGGACTAGAGCCGCCATTGCTGTTTCTTTATTAGAAGTTCTAGATTTTAAGAATGAAAATCGTGAAACTATTGAATCATTTCATCGATAGAAATCTCCAGCTATTTTCAAATAAACTTTGTTTGAAATAATATGTGCCAACATAGAACAAACTCAGTAATGTTGATTGTTCCTTAAGATATTACGTGTCCATGGACTACACCGGGACTACCTTGACGGAGAAGGCAGTCGTCGTTCAAACGGCTACTCTTACATTGGGAAAAGCGATAATTCCTGGTGAGTTGCTCTTGTTTACATCAAACCTCAGGCATTGAATAATTTGTTCAGGTTCAGAAAATGAAGTTGCCGTGCGAGAATAACCCTGGGCTGCAAATTTGAAATTCTTTTGCTTAGAGTTTAATAAACGTAATAATGAATTAGATATTAAGTCCTGTATAACGCGGAAACAGAGAAGATACTGACTAGCCATTCATCTCTGTGGAAGGTCATGAAGTTCGCACTTAAGAAATGCTCAAGTTATTTATATTGTAGCTAGTGAAGCAGTGTCGCATGTGCAAAAAAAATCGTCATTTGATCACAGATTACTAATTACTTCGTCAGAGACGAAAGGGATTTAAATGAGGATGAATTGGGGGTTATGGCGTATACAGGTTCATGTGAATAAATAAATTTAATATTTTGCCTATCAACATTAATATAGATGGACAGTGGACACCTAAATGAGTTTAAGTGCAAAATGGTAGACTTAATCACGAACTTACACGAATGAAGATGTCGCGAGTTTTTTCGAAAATTAGTGAGGCTAACAATTAAAATTTTCGCATGAAACTATAAAATCTCAGAAAATTGTTTTAATTTTGCTGGATGATAATGGATGCCATGAGCGTTAGAAACTTCCATATAGTGCTTAGTAAGTGGAATATCTTTATGATCCTCATTCAAACAAATAACATATCGAGGAAAATATAGTTGTGAAATTAGCAGCATACGGGAATATACTTACTGAGGAATACATACTTCCAAACAAAAAATATGAACTAATTACTGATCAGATTTAATATAGCTGATTTTCACCCGTTGATTTCAGGAACTGATTAGCACTGCTGGCTTCACGCGTTACTGTAGCTTCTGCGTAGAAATCCCCAATTATGATGACCATTTCTTACAAGCCTATCGGTTGAAGTTAGATGCGATGTTCCTCGATACATGACATCTAATTATTTCCTCAGGTCTGAGTATCACACAAGAACTCACGCCTCGCTACGATGATCACCTCTTGGTTTGCTTCGACCCCCCCGCGGGTGAAGTGTATCGCTACGAGTTGGGGATGGAGCGCGAGGGCGAGCTAATATCCAGCGATGATCGCGCACAGATTCAAGAGAAGGAAGGCCAGACGTGCGCCGTGACCTCCAAGGCTGTGCTCTTGGGCGGCTACGTTAACCTCTACGCGATTGTGGTGGCTTATAACAGCAGTGGAAGCATCATTAGCTCGGGAGAAAAGACGTACTCGAATTTGTGTGAGTTTTTGTTAAAAATGTGTCGTGTTTTTGACTTTGGTGGAACCAAGCTTTTGCGACAATTCCACATTCTTTGCAACATATAATACTGGCATACATAGGTTGCAAGCCCCAAACGATGGTCCTCGAAATTTTTTGTGTTTAGGTGGATTTTTTCAACATTCGGACACTACGCGTAAGTTAGCCAACAACAGCTAATAGTCAGACCATGCAGCGGTCGGCCTTGTCTCACAAGGCCGACAAGGTAGAAAGGCAAGACAAAGTAGAAAGAAATACAATTAATGTCCTATTTATTCTCCATCGAACTTCGTCGAGAGTAAGAATGGTACGCAAGGTTAAGCGAAGAAGTCTATCATTCTGAAGTGAAATATGTGATGCTTAGAAATGGGTTACAATCTTAACCGTTTCAATCGAACATTTTCTAATTTTCAATGAATTTTTCTGTATTTTTCAATTTTCTATATTTTACCTTTTCTAAAATTCTTTTTTTTTCAAGTACGTTAATTATTGAAGTGAAAATAATTTCTCAGAAGAAATTATTTCCAAAAAGTTCAATAAATTGCAAACTGAATCTGGATTGATAACGCAATTGTTAAGCGTCCTCGTCTAATTATTTCGTGTTCGCACAACCGACATTACGAGCATTTATCAATTTGCAATAAAAGGAAAAGATATACATGATATATGTTGCAATTTAATGGTTGTATTTTCATCAGACCTGAGCGAGGACAGCGGCGTCTATGGACTCGTCAAGAACAACTCAGATTTATTCGACCTCATGTGCTCCTGGAAACTCGTAGACGACACGGACTCTTTGGAATCCTACACAGTGTCTCTGAAGAATGAGCTCGGGGGAGAGATCGAATCATTCACTGTAAACTTAACTTCAACGACGTACAGTTTTGATGGTCTCGCTGAAGGCCTTTACGTCGCATGCGTTGCGGTCAACGGTCCCTCAATTACAAGCAAATTACTTTGCAGTGACGCCATCCGAGCCACCGCCGACGCAAGCCCCGGTTAGTAGAAGTAATCTTTATGATTTATTTATTTATGTCAAGTTAAACGATGAGAATATTTTAACAATCAAATACGTGCATTGTCAGAGCAATACAAAAATAAATGAAGTAAAACAATACTTTAGTCTGATGAAAGGCTTATCTTAGAAGTTTTCACGAATACCATATATTGTTAAAAAGTTTGAATTACACATCACGCAAAAAACCTTCATAATAGTTGTAGATATTTTAGACAAATTTTGATTTGCAGGAGATATTGGGTTGGGACCATTTCATAGTTTCATAACCAGCGACAGCCAAGTGAAAATATCGTGGAGCCTAGCTGAAGAAGACTTGAAGGACACGTCGGCAATTCTCATTGAGTACATGACTGCTGAAATGAGGAATGCTCATCAAATAAGGCAGCCATCGCCTCTTCTGCAGTCGGCTTTGCTACACAAACAGGATTTGACTGTTGATGAAAGCAAAAATTCAGGACTTGCTGGCTTCCGCATCGTCCCTGCCTCGCAGACTTCGGCTAACCTGCCACTCGCCGAGGGCAATTGGAGCATTTGTTTGTCAGCGATGAGAGGAAACCAGGCGGGTACTCCGCAATGCCAAAAGACAAAAATAGGTAAGAAATTTCTATATAGTGAGTATGGAAACAAATACTGACGCTCCTGAGACTTCAAACTCAAAAAATATACTGTTTAAAGTATGTGTATATTATTTAATTCAACTGATCGAATTGTTCAATTAGGAGAAAACAAGCGAGAACACTTATCATAAATCATGTCTGAAAATATTTTTTCAGAGACTGCACCAGAAGTCGGAGCTCCAGAGAACCTGTCATACGACGAGACGAGCTACCTGCTGACGTGGGAAGCTCCATCCGCCTCAGACGGGCTGAGTCTCATTTACTACATCGAGGGATCAAGAGGCAGCTCCTTGCAGCACACAAACACTAGCGAGACATCTGTGAATCTGGCAGACTTTGTAGGGAGCGGCGAGTGGTCCATTGCCGTGCACACACTCCAGGATGAGAAATATCTCAGTGATGCTGGTGAACTTCCAGTTATCGTCAATGGTGAGATATAAATGGCCTTACGCTGCATTTCCGTGCTGGCGGGATTAACCAATTATTATTTGGTCACTGATAATTTTTAATTCATCCAATAACAGTATCATTTTAGATCTGACGAAATCAAACTCTGATCACATGACCCATGAGATGTTCCAATGCGCCCTGATTGTACCTTAAAATCAAGTGGTAATTTTTTTAGAGAATCAGCATTAAATAGTGATCAGTAAATCAATCAAACTTGAAATATATGGTATATTTAATTCATTATTGTTTTTTTTTTGGATTAGGTAATTCTTGTTAAATTTATTTTAATTGTCAAATCTTATTACATAAATTATAACGTGAATGCCGTTAATTATTCAACGTAACATAACAGGCCTCGAGATCAGCACAGCGCAGACTGGGTACAGAGAGATGCGCGTCTCATGGCTCGAGTACGGCGCAGATTCGGCGCCGTCCGAGGCCGTAGTCTACACCGTGAACTTCCATGAGAGTATCACGCGGAGCGTCAACTGCTCGGCCGAGTGTCTGGTGTACATTTCTGATCCATCCGCCGACCCAAACTCAAAATTTTCAGTCGTTGTTACGAACACAAAGACGGGATTGACGGAAACCGCGATTGTATATTTTGTTGACGTTCCAAGTGAGTTCCTTTCTAGCCTCCAAGATGATCTGGAGTAAGCGTCTTAACAATATCTATGAGCCTTTTACACGTACGTCAAGTTTTTGTTTTGCTTGAATCGAAAGTTCTCAAAATGCTAACAATGTAAATGAAATTATTCACACTTTTGCACTTATTTACAATGTCCCAATGTCCACTTATATATCAATATGATGTCACTTCTCAAAAAAATTGATTTTTTTACATTCTCGTTCGAGGTCCATATAATTCGAGTTTTCCAGATTTTCTTCTTACGCTCCAAAGTACACGAGTACTTACAATATAAAAACTTTGTGCGTCCTAGTTTTTTTCCTTATCTCCAACAATATAAATAAGATTTTTAATTTGGTTTTTATCTGTGAGAAAGTTTGAAGGAATTTCTGTCTCATTTTCTATGATGAACCTTCAAATGGATGTTTGTTCAACGTTATGCAGCTGTCTCAGGTGTCACGATCACGGAGTTCAGCGCAGGGAGAGCCACGGTTGTGTGGCAATGCGTGGCCGAGGCTTCTTCGTACAACGTCAGCCTCTACGACAGCACGAAAACGCAATTAAAATTCAATGACCGTACTGGGCTGTGCCGGTGGGTATCCCTAATCCAGAATAATGTTCTCAATCTATCATTGAATGGAGGAGAATTATACTCCATAACGAAATTCGGGGACCGCCTAGGCTTCGGCCGAATAGTCACTACACTCGGCGCAAAGTTTTTCTGGGTCAGTTGGCCAACTGGTCGCAATCAGCGACTAGTCAGAACCTCCTGGCCAACTTAATGGTCTCCTGAGAGTAGGGCAAGAGTTGGCAGAATCCCTTCAGTCCCGTCACCAGGCTCTGGTAGCTGTCTGATTCGGGGGCCAGAATGTAGACCAAAAAGCGGACATAGAGAAGCTGATTTACGTTCGGTCCGAGTCCTAGGCGGTTCCTAATTCAGGCTCGCCACCAACTAAAATTTTTGATAGGGCTGCTTTGTATTACGTAACATACAGAGTTTTTGTTCCATAGAATTGTTCTTGCATATCCCCGCACGCAACATCAGAACGTACAATCATTCATGTTAGAATATCAGAATATACCTCAGGCTATTCTTGCTATATGAAAGAAAAGCCAATAGCAATTTTAAAATAAATACGAATTCAATTTATTGTTCTTGGGCAGGTACAACTTTGACGACCCAAGCATCGCTGTGGTGGACGGCGACGTAGCCAAGATCCAAGCTCGCTTTGAAAATCCCATCGAACGTTCGAACGATGTGGAGACTCGACGGATAAAACTGTGACAATTGACAGTATGTCACTTTAATTCACATAATTTGTGCCCTCCTAAAATTTTTCTCTGTCCTCAATTATAATGGGCCCTAAATAATCTTAGGCCTCTAGTTGTTCCTCTTAACTATTCATATTCTCGCTGTTCAGTAAGTCTTCATTGTAAGAAAGCAGTAGAGTTCGTCTTAAATTAAAACGCATTGTATGTATAGTTTGAATTGGTTTTCCTGAGCGGAATAACCAAATCCAAAAGGTCAAAACGGCGCAACCTGTTCTTTAAAACAAAATATAACCCGCAAACATCAATAAATGACTTGAGGCGAGCTCTGTGTAAACATTGGCACCAGATCGATGGAGAAGAAGATCCTCAATCACTTTTCCCGACACCGCCAATGAATTTCCTACAAACGACATAAGAACCTGCAGGAGTTCCTGGTAAAGTCGAAACTTGGAAAACCAATCACAAAAAAACGAAGATCTAGATATCTTAATTAATCTCCTTTGAGCATAAAAAATAACAAAATGAAAAATTATCTATAAATCAAAAGGGCCTGATGAGTTATGAAATGGCGCCATCGTCCTTGAAGATCTAAATACATAAAAATAATAAGAATAAAAAATAAATAATAAAAAGTAGTTTTTGTGATGTTACTCATGATACGAAACAAAACTACCATGAAAAAAAAAATATATCTGTGGGTCGTATGATACAATTGAAATGCATCTGAGTAACGCAAAACAAAAGGGTAAATAAATAAAAAACGCACTCATATTAATAACAAAACCGTTAAGCCCATTTAGGCGTGGGAATATCTAAAAATATATAACTCAGTACTCACTGCAGTGATTGACAGAGAGCGCATTTTCTCGTCGACGAAAACTTGAGGTCACGGACGGACGGACAGACGGATGGACAGACAGACAGACAGACAGACAGACAAGGCGAGCACAATAGTGCATTTTTTCCATAAATGAGAAAATGCGCTAATAACATTCGGGGAGAAAGGCAGCCGGTCTCTTGGGGTCTCATGCCTTACAAACTTTATGTTGACTATTGAAGTTGCCTGTTGATTTTATATGAAATTGGGAACCTTTTACATTCTTCACCTATTAGCTTTATACTGCGTAAATAAGCTAACAATAAAATGTGATGCAAATTTTTATGTTCAATAAGTTGTGTTCTACTTATTTTGTGAAAAATAATTAGCTAATAAAAATGCATGAATAAATAAACGTACAGACAACATTTTGAACAATAAAATCTTAGTGATTGTATATAAATGAAAAATTTGTATTACGATAACTGGAGTGATAAAAATTAAAATAGCAACGTCACTTCATAACACACGCCAGTCTTTTATAACTGACAGCCTCACTCTATAACTGACTGCCTCACTATATAACTGACAGCCTCACTCTATAACTGACTGCCTCACTATATAACTGACTGCCTCACTTTATAACTGCCTCACTCTATAACTGACCGCCTCACTCTATAAATGACGGCCGCTTTATAATTTACCGCCATTATTTTTTTCAGCCGATTTCACCATCACCTCTCTGAGTTGGACATACGACGGTACATCTGACGCCACGACGTTGACGGTGTGTCCAGAGAAACCATTCGCCACTTTCTTAGTCTTCAATCTTCTCGTTGCATCAGCCTCAATCGGCGAGAGACGTGAGTAGCAGCTGTGTGCATTTTAAAAACGATCATATTACATTAGAGCGTCATTCATGTTAATTATTATTCAATGTTGAATATGCTTTCCATAGCAGCAAGGCATAAAAAGTTACATCTGGTATTGAAATTATTCTGGATGTGCTTGAATTCTACCCGTTAAAATGTATTCATGAATATGTTGAGAACGCTTGCTCGTTGAATAGGTTAAGAACGCTCTCGTATATTAGGTTAGATTAAAATTTTCTTGTCGTAAAGTTCATGTAAGGAATCCGTATTTCAATGAGTAAAATTCGTACTAGCTGAATCTGGGCCTAGAACTTCATTAGTTACTCAACACAAAATGATAAATAATATTAATATGTGCCATTTGTCGATAATGAGCTGTAGTTTACGCTTAATGCCAGTCAGTTATTTAACTCATTTTTGATAATTAAGGTTGTCGTTTGCGGCGTGCTAAATCAACATGAAACGAAATGATCAGGATTTTTAAGAAACACGACAGGAGTACAGCCAATATAATTTTTCTTAAATGAAATTAATTACTTTTCTGCAGAATACAGTGGAGTTATGAATGATTCTTCTTCAAATTGTATTTATTTTAACGATGGTGGATATCAGCCCCTTCCCTCATCGGAGACCATATATACACTAATCGTTGATGGCACAAACCTCACGTTAAAAAGCTCTGTTCGTTTTGCTTTTGGAGGTGAGTAATCAACGTGCAAAAAGGCAGACAAAATACCGTAGAACGATACCGTGTTTGAATAACGCCTCTCCAGTCCAATTGTGAAGATGAAGCTTTTGAAATTCACTTTTGCCCAAACCTTGCTCAATTTTAAATGAAAACATAATACAAACCCGTATTATTATTGTTGTTATCATTATTGTTAATTATTTTATTCGTATTATTATTAGTAATTTCATTATTATGACTTTTACTATTATTATACGAAGCGATAATCGTGGAGTCTGGTTCAAACGAACTTCGAGTGCACGCTACACATAAGTTATGATCACAGATCTCAACAATAAACTTCTCTCAATATTCTCACTAATTTTCTGAATTTTCCAGTTATCGTCTCTCAACTGGACTGCAATGGGACAAAACTGTTGCGTCTCAATGCGGGAACTTTAGGAGGCGAACTTACGGACAAGACTTGTCCAACCTCAACCCCTGTAGACCAGCGAGGCATAACGTGCTATGTGCCTGATGGGACGCCCAAGGTGTGCGTGACTAATGTGGATGAAAGTCATGTTGACTTGGAAGTCTGCGTGACAGGATTGAAACCGACCAGCATTTTACCTTCATCGAGTAAGACGTACAAAAACTTTGAAATTTACGTATTATTAAGTTAAGAATTAATTATACGAAAAAATTTAGTTGCTTCTTTGTGGTTGTTGATTTTATTGTTGATTGCTATGATGTATTGCTGTTATTCGTGGTGTCGCACATTCAGAGAAATAAGTTGCTCATTGTCCGACTAGCGTTGCTTTTTTTGCCTCGTGTCGATCTTTCTGACACAGTTTGGCACAGAAAAAATGTGTATCAGTCCTACGCTAATCTGTCCTGCTGCAGTCGGGAAGAAAGTGTGTCATTATTTGAACAAAATGAAAAATATACATTTAATAGGCACATGTGTAAACCCTCGCTTAGAGCCTCACCATTCAATCATTGTGTAAATTTTTAATTTCATAGACTTACTTATAAATTCTACTCTGTGTTTTAACTACTTAAGTGAGCAAAACATGCATTTCCACGAATAAACTTTTGGCATTTCATTGCTTGTAAATTTTGTCTAAGATTTTAATAGAAACAATTTCTTCCCTCAATATATCACTCGGCTCCTCATAAGTAACATGAAGAACATACAGTATTACTCTTTTACTCCTTAACTGGTTTATTGTTCCTCATGAGTAACATGAGGAAGATGTTACTCATTAACTAATTCTTTGTTCGTCATGAGTAACATAAGGGAACATATTACTTATTAATTAGTTCATTGGTCCTCCTGAATAAAATGAGGAATGTATTACTCATTAACTAGTTCATTGTTCCTCATGAGTAACATAAGGAAGATGTTACTCATTAACTGATTCATTGTTCCACGTGAGTAACATGATGAAGATGTTACTCATTAACTGGTTCATTGTTCCACGTGAGTAACACGAGGAAGATGTTACTCATTAGCTAGTTCATTGTTCCACGTGAGTAACAAAAGGAAGATGTTACTCATTAACTGGTTCATTGTTCCACGTGAGTAACACGAGGAAGATGTTACTCATTAACTGGTTCATTGTGAGGAACCATTACCATTTGTTTGGCATTTTCTTCGCTTTTAAATTTCTGATTGTATCTCTCTTTGTGTATTCCCTCTCAATGAAAAATAGTTATCACTAAATGGACAAAACATGACATGCTCTTGATTCATTCTAAAATTTATTTCAACAGGTGAGTTAAGTGCGGAAACTTTAAGTTACGGAGACAGCACACTTGCAATCAACAATTCATTAGTCTCTGAGCTGCTGATCCGCGCGGCACTGGAAGACTTTAATTTCAAGAGCTGTACTGCAGGAAAATGTGTTGTCAGCAGCATGACAAGTGGCGACATTCTCTACGAGTATTGCGGGGTTCTCACCGACGAAACAGGCATCACTGTCACTGCAGTGAACACATTTCAGGGTAAGTAATCACAAATTAAATACTTTAAAATAAAAATTTAAAAATCACAAATTTAACCCTTTGACCGCATCCGATCGCCATTTATGATTGAGAAAATTATATACGGACTGCCCGTTGGGATTTTATAAGTCAGTGTTCGTGATAACAATTCTCACTTTCTTTTTCTTCATTCTAATATTTTGTTTAATTGATATCAATGTTCCTTTTATTTTACGTCTGTTTATTTCTTTCACGTTCGGATTGGATCAAAAAAATTTCGATCATCTTTTTTATATGAAACCTTTGAAATTTTTAATATTATTCACAACATACCTGATTCACTCTTATGATAACTTGCATATCGAAGTAATGAAACACTTACGACGTCTCTCATATAAAGCAATTAAAACAAAACGATGATTTTAATTCCATGACATTCCATCTTCTATGTACAGATATTCACTTGGAGTTGGAAGATTCGGCCACTTCCATCAATTTTCGGTTCTCAAACCGGTACGATGCTGGCACCTACTTGGTGTATGGAACCAACGTTCCTGACCAGATTGACGGCACGACAGATCCTATTCTTCTGGATTGTTCTCGCATCGAAGTCGGTGCATTTTGCTATGGGTTTTATTATTCTGAGTCTTCGCCTTCACCTACACATATTGCTATCTCCTACAGCGACTACAGCAACACAGTGATCTCTCCAGTGCTCTACACCAACTAACCATTAATCAATTGACCACAATAAATGCAAGAACATATTAATCCGAAAATTGCCGATTGAACTTTCGATAATATTAAATATTGTCGATGCTATTTGTTTCTCAACGATTGTTAGTTAGAGTGACCATCCGTAGTCCAAAGCCTAAAGTTGCTAACACATTAACAAACAATCAACAAGGCATAACCTTGAGCAGCTCGAGCTCAAACTCAGAAATTGTAAATTTCTTACCTATAAAAATTACTGTTATGAAAATTTGTTTCAGCGTTTCCTTACATGTATTTCTCTCATGAAACGAAAATCACTGCGCCTACACGATAAGTTAATATTGCTCAAGTGTCATTGCTCTTGCATTCGCTATTACTGTTCACCACTACTGGCAAGAAGCTTCTGCTCTACCATTAGTCCGAATCTCATTTCTGCGAAAGCCAGAAATGAGCTAATTGTTGTAATTGACTGAGAAAATGTTGAATAATAAAACTATTTTTGAAGTAGTAAACAATAGATCATGAGGTAATATAATTAAATAAGTGAAGAAGTGACCAACAACTGTTTTCCATTTTCCATAGATCATGTTCATGGATTTTTTATGGATTGTTATTCATCGCTGTTTCCTCTTTTTTAACAGGCCTCGATTTTTATAATATATAATAACTTCTATCTATGAATGTTACCTAATAACTTATTGCGCAGGAATTTCGCTTGTTTTTTCTCAGCAGACTGATTTTTGAAAATTTTCTGCAATAATTGGATTGGATAGAATTTTTTTCACAGTCTGAAATATTGAACAGCAAAATTCCATCTAAAAAAAGTTTCCAAAATTGTTATGAATTAAAAAAAATTTAGCTGTTCGTGCGGGCTGGAACTTTATTTCAAATGGAGAAGAATAGGAAAACAGTTGTTTGGACATACACATTCTCGAAATTCAAGACCGGATAATCCAGGGCTAATAAGTACAGCTCAATAAACAAATATACGTGCAAATCAACTCTATAACGAAAGTGCATGAATGAATGATTTTCAAGGAAGGGTTTCATGCAACTTAAGCTTCTTTCATTTAGGCTGTCGAATGGGATACTTCTCTAACTACCAACTTGCTCTCCTAAAGTGCGAATATAAAATTCAAATTATTTCTTTAATGTGATGAAACTAACGATACCCCAAAGCTTATTTTCATTCCAATATTGAACGATTGCTGGCTTCTGCTATACCATCGACTCTCCGGCAGCACGCGATTTTACGTGTCTATGTTCTTTTTCAGTGAAAAATTGATCGTTTTTCATACCTTATCCGATATCATTCTTAGATGAATTTTCTATCATCTTGCAAATTTTGTAAAACTTTCACGCACTTTTTCTTTCTTTTTGTTAATTTTAATAAAACTTCATGAACTTGGCATTGGAATCTCATTTTCTAAAAGAAGTCCTTCGTTTGATTTTTCAAATAACTATTGTGTGTAAATTTACAGTAATTTGTGCTATCTATAGAAATTCCATATCATTATTTTGTGTAATCCATAATTTGTCCAAGCCATATAAATTCCATTAATATCATATTTTACTATGATAAACTTATACAATGATATTATCAGATCTTATCGCTATAAGATACTTCTGCAGATATCTTGCAAATTCTTGACCCTATCCTCAAGAAGGAATTTTTCGAACACTTTCGCCAGTTTCGATTTTGCTCGTCATGCAATTGAAGCAATTTTTAATTCGCGTCTCTGATGCGGTATTCGTATAGAGTAACATGGGACGGCGAACCCACTGCGGGTCATGGGCCCATAGCAGGTTTCTCGCTAAGTATGGCAGATATTGGTCCGTGTTCTCTACCGCCGGTCGACAGTTTCACTGGGATGAAGTGTACGGATTTACGTTTTGCTAAGTGTTTGCGTTATTAAGTTATTTGTGAATAACTGTTTTAGCCCAGATGAAAATTTTTTTGCTGCTAAATAAAACTGTTTCCGATTACAGTAGATGAAGCTTTTGAAATTACTGTGAATTATATTTTGAAGGTAATATTTATAGGGATAATTTTGAGATCAAGTTTAGACTATTAGCTTTTAAAATAAAATGTTGACACGATATAAATTGAAATGATGGGCAACGGGCCCACGCGTGTCACGGGGCAAAGCGCCCATGGTGAAGTCTTGTGTTATACATCATTAGATTTGTCTCAATAACCTTTTCAAAACTATGACTAGCTTTTGAATTACAAATTACACTTCATATTGCATGATTTTTAGATTTGCCGCCTCAAGGCAGCAGGTTTAGTTTCTAGTGATGCGTATTTATGACCCCTTATCGAGTTATTGACTCTTGCCTTGCCAAAAGTTGATTTCAGTCAACACCAATGAGCCAAAAGTTGATGAGTTTTTATGGTGTTGGCTGAAATCACGATTAGGTACGAGTTCTCTGCACATAATATCTGGATTATGGACGAAACTGGAACGAAGTTTTTTCTGATCAACATTATATATTTTTTCTAGTCAAGGATACATTTTTTCATGCCAAGGACGAATTTTTTATCCCAAGGATATATTTTTCATGTCAAGGATATATATTTTTATGTCAATGAAATATTTTTATTCAGGTCAGTGATAGATTTTTTGAGCCAAGAGTATATTTTTTTCAAGTTAAGGATATGATTTTTTGAGTCGTTAATAAATGAATGAATGTTATACTTTTTATTAAATTTGTCTTATTTTTAACTCTAAAGCGTTTTTTATCATTTTTAAACGAAAAATATGCAATTGTGGTAGAGGGACCAAGGGTGGGCGCCTTTCCCCAAGCCCATGGGCCCATTGCCCCAGGGGTGGGGCAATGGGCCCATTTTGACACTTTTTACAAAATGGCGTTACGTTAAAAATTGAACAACTCTATAGGCGTCTAATTCACATCATACATTCCTCATTAGTTGTACCTTTAAACAAAGCAAAGAACCACCTCGTATCAATTAAAACCATCAAAAATTTAGTTTAAACAAAGGGGGGGGGGCACAGCCCCATGTTGCCCTATACCGACCTTGCTACGTACTACGGTGGCCGCAATTCAGCGTCTTTGTCGCAGCATGTAGAAGTACTTATTTATTTCATTGAACGTAGAAAAAAATATTTAATAATATAAAGAGTGTAGGGCTTTGGCTAAGTGCGTCAGGATATTACTGAACGGTCTGAAACATGAGGATAATTTTTGCAACATAGCGGTTAGTAGGTGTATCATGTTAAAACATATTGGGGTAATCAGGTAAACAGAACCACACAGCAAATTATTACAATTATACTGTTTTTCAATTATCAGCTTGAAACTTCAGGGAATTTTAGGGTTTTTCTTATTCTGTTCATGAAATATCGCACCAGCACCACACATTCAGCATTTCATAAGTCACTCATGTTTTTTAGCTACCATGAACACGGTAGGTTGTTAAGAAATTTCCTTGACAGATTTGCTAATATTTTCTAAAAACTTCCATGCCAATGCTAAAGAAGTTTAGATTACTCAGTATAACATTCTTATTAATTTTAAAAAGAAAATTATAACAAAAAAATCTCCCATTAGGTTTGTATTATTTTATTTCAGAGAGTTTACAGCATTTTGAAATTTAATATTAGGCATTCATCATTACTTCGATCATAAAAGACAGATAGCCTTCAGATCAAATTTATTCCAACACTTCTCTTTAACTTCACTTCATGTTTGTCTGCTACAAATCTTATAATCGAAATTAACCACACTTCTACCTCTCCAATTGATGTGAAATTTGGATCAATTGAAGTTGGAGACAATGCATGAATCAATTGAGAGAATAAATAATTTTTAAAAATTTGAATTTTTTATATTAAAAAAACTGAAAAATTAATTTTATCTGCCACTAATCTTTTAATCGATATTTAACACACTTTTACCTGTCCAATCAATCTGAAATTTTGCACACTTGCGTAAAGTCGGAGACAATGCACAAATCAAGTAACAGAATAAATAATTTTGAAAATTTAAATTAATTTTCTTAACATTTGAAAATAAAATTAGAAACTCATTGTACATGTGTAACATCGTAAACACTGGATTCTTTAGAAGTGTTGTCCTTAATAATATGCTTCTAAAATTTACTATTTAAAAACAACATTTCTAAAGAATCCAGTGTCTCTGATGTTACACATGTACAATGAATTTCTAATTTTATTTTTATATATAAAATAATTTTTACTTTTTTAATATTAAACAAAATTAAATATTCAAAATTATTTAATCTGACAATTGATTCATGCATCGTCTCCGACTTAACGCAAGTTTGCAAAATTTCAGTTCGATTGGACAGGTAAAAGCGTGTTAAATATCGATTATTAGATTTGTAGCGGAGAAAATTATTTTTCTAATTTTATTAATATTGAAAAAAAGTCGGAATTTTTTTTAATTCTGTCTATTGGTTCATGCATTATCTCCGACTTTACGCAAGTGTAAAAAATTTCAGAAAGATTGGAGAGGTAGAAGTGTGTTTAATATCGATTATAAGATTTGTAGCAGACAGACAAACAGGAATTGAAGTTAAAGAGAAGTGTTGTAAAAAGTAATTTTTAAACGCATATAATTTTTAACAGTTATCTGAAATACGAAAAGTCCCAATTTTACTTCTTAAATTTAGAAAATGAAGCATTCAAACTCTTACTAATAGGTGATCATGAACGGCTTGAGAAAACTTGTGAGGGAATTTTGAGTTTTTCAATTTATATACAGGGACATTTGTGTTCGAATAATGCTACAATCTCAAGGCTCCGAGCTTTACAAGAATAGGTATACTTATCACATAACAAATATTTATAAGGTATCTGAACATGGTTGAGTATGCTGAATACGAATAATATGCGCTTAAAAATTACTTTTTAAAGACAACACTTCTAAAGAATCCAGTGTCTCCGATGTTACACTTGTGCAATCAATTTCTAATTTTATTTTCATATATTAAAAAATGGATTTAATTTTTTTTAATATTTAGAGAAATAAAATTTGAAAATTATGTATTCTGTCAATTGATACGTGCATTGTCTCTGACTCTACGCAAGTGTGCAAAACTTCAGATCGATTGGACAGGTAGAAGTGAGTTAAATATCTATTAAAGGAATGGTAGCAGACAAACTATTTTTCATTTTTTTATTATTAAAAAATTTAAATTTCTTAAATTATTTATTCTCTCAATTGACTTATGCATTTTCTTTAACTTTACGCAAGTGTAAAAATTTCAGATCGATTAGAGAGGTAGAAGTGTGTTAAATATCGATTATAATATCTGTAGCAGACAAACAACAAGAAGTGAAGTTGAAGAGAAGTGTTGTAAAATACATTCAGTTATTAATCTATGCTCTAAAAAATTCAACTAACACTTGAGCATACAGAAATTTATTGTGAATTCTGTTTTTCGTATGTTTTAAATGCTGAGCGGAATCAAAAGCTTAATGAGAATAAAGGAGGTTGGAAAGGATTTGAATGATAAATATCTTTATACCAGCGATCAGAAATCAAACGGTGGCTGATGGTTAGACTGATAGTAATGAGTTTCACCTTTAGAGATAGGCCTAAGCTAGTTTTTGAAATGGTGTGTAGGAATTTTCACTAACGTCTTTGTCATCAATTAAACCTTTTCATAGCAAGCCCCATCAAAACTTCCTTAGGCCTTACTTCTATCAATCGCTATTTTCTTTGGAGCATCATCCACATCGGACTCCAGCATCGTACCCTGCAGTTGAACGTCTTTCGAAATCACCGTGTTGCTCGGAGGCGTGTCGTCGTAGGAGACAGCGAGGTATTTAGGGATATTTTCAATATTATAAAACCCATAGCAATATGTCTCTGCAGGAATGTGTGTACAATCAAGATGGATGGGTATGTAATTCCCATCAATGGAATCCTCGGTGTCAGTTCCAGTTACCAAGTATTTTCGATCAGAGTAGCGATTTGCCAGGCGGAAATCGATGGGAGTGTCGGCACCGTTGACCGTCAATGACAAATCTGCGGAGAGAATGCACGGTGGAGTTAAATAGCGGTATAGCAGCTCCGTGTAAATTTTGATGCATTGCCGAGACTCAATCCTTTCGTGACTTACGGGACTTCTCGGTCCCAAGCTACCATAGGTACGACTATCATCGACGAAGGTAATTGTTTACGAGATCAAAGGGTTAAAAATAAATCTAACCGTTACAAATTTAACAGTCTGATTCTAATAATTTAGTTTTACTGTAATTGGGCAATTAAACAACACACACACTGGTGTAATTATTCGATGAATTCTAGAACCAGTCAGATTGAGTTTGAAACAAAATCAATTTCATTAAAAAACATACATTTTTTATTTATATTCAGATGAAAAGAGTTACATTAAGCAGCCTTTAGAACACAAAAATAGAATTTTCAATTTTGAAATCTGTTTATTTGAAATTCCGTTCCGTTCCGTTCCGTTCGTTAATTTGAAATTCCTTTTCTGTTCAATGGCAAATTAGGCTGGTAGAAATAGATTCATGTACAATCTGCTTTCAGTTATTGATTGATAATTTTTACCTTGGAATTGAGACGATGCAATGCTAGTGATAGTGTCAGGTGGCTCATAGATAAGGCCACAAATTTCATAAAGTTTATCACTCATTTCCATGCTCGACACGGCACATTTTCCACCGTCACATGGCGACGAAATGAAGACATCGTCAGGTCCCCCACGCGTCAACAGCTCAGTGACTAAAAGATTGTTGATGTTGAGGCGGCTGCTCGCGTAACTCAGAACTTCGGCTTGCATGGCATCTGTTGAAGTATGCCAACTCATGTTTATGAAAACATATAATATTATGTCAATCAACTGTATGAATGGAACTTTGGCTATGACTGTGAATGTTTTATAAATAATATAGTTCATTGTGAGGTTCTTCAAAGAAAACTAAATTTGTTATTATGCATTATGTAGGCTTCGTACATTTTCAATTAGCTATAAAGTCTAAGCTGAGATCGTTTCAATGATTGACTTTTGTAGTCTCGGGCCAAATAGAATGAACATAATATTATTACGAGTATTGACGGCATATCACGATATACGTAATTTCCAATTAATTAATTTAATTGTTTGCTTCGTTTATTGAAACTCGAGAACAGGAAATTTATAGAACATTAGAACAAAGTTTGCTCATTTCATTTGCGCCCAAAAATTTAAATTGAACTGCATTGCCTGTTGGTTGCATTTTTCATAGCATCCGTGAACAGCAATCAATTATTTTTCGTGACGAGTGAGTAGCAGAGCTTTATATTAATATTAATACTTTTGCACAAAGAAGAAAATATTGACGATAATTATATTTATTATACATAGATTCTAAACGTATACATTTGGATTTGAATGCATTGACGTAACTCACAGAGCTATAACTTATAAGTTAAATGTATGAAGGTGAATAAAATACTTTAAAAAGCTTTAAAAAACACGTTTTTCTTGTGGACTAAAAAGTAGAAAATAAATTATGGCTCACCCTAAAAAAACGTGTGTCGGGCAGATTTATGATTAAAGCGAAAAGCACACAACACTTGAATTTTGGAAATTTGATGGTGAACGTACAGCCCGACCCACGTTTTTTTTTTTTGGGCGAGCCATAATTTATTTTCTACTTTTTAGTCCACAAGAAAAACGTGTTTTTTTTATTTTTTTTTAGTATTTTATTTTCTACTTTTTAGTCCACAAGAAAAACGATTAAGATTTTATTAAGTATGACCTGACGTACGTATCGATGATACGCAGCGTCAGCGCCAGCTTGTCTATAACGTCAGCGCCCGCACGTCATACTATATATATAGTATATATATATATATATACTTTACTCAATTAAGCTAATATAGGTCTCTAATTGCTGGTTTCTATGATTGTATCTAAAATTGTTCGGCAAAAATAGCCTGCATGCCGAATTTCAGATCTCTAGAGCAATCAGAAGTGGGTTAATTTTCGTTGTCAATGTTAACAACAAACAAACAAACGCGAAGCTGAGTAAAGAAAAACGTGTTAAAAATAATGACGATAAATACAGGTGGAACAAATGTGACAACTGTTGGTAATAAATATCTGTCTGCTATTGAGATGCATATTAATATTTTATTAAGTGCCAAAATTTTTACGGAATGAGAGACCGAAACGTGTGCAACATCAATTGTATGAGACTACGCTTACCAGCGCCCAACTTGATTAGCCTATTCCTTTATATTAAATCAGCCAATTAGCTTTTACGTAAGTTGATAAACAACTCTCTAGAAAAGAAATACAATAAATAACGAATATAGGATTTATTTTACAAGAGCAATGATTATATTGTTATTGTGACAAAATTGTGTAGCCTATTGTGTAGCCAGGACAAGACAACTATGCTGCTTGTACTAGGTTAAAAGTCAGGCTTCAGCGATTGAATCGGGCATAATCGATAACAAACCAAGATTGTAGGTGTGATTGAGTCAACTGCATAGCATCGCTCACAGTACGAGTGTGATGGTAAGAGGGTTAATCTTCAGCAATGCAAGTTGAGTCAAGTGTGCTGGCAAGAGGGTTTTTCGTACCTGGTGATAAAGCAGTGGGAGTCGGCTCTCTCCCAGTCAAACAAACTTCTAATCCTAGATTTTCGTTGTCCAAATTCGTGGCGCACACCTTAGAGTACTGTTCAGGTACTACATAACACGTGGAGGTCGTTGAATCAGTAGTGCCACAGGTTTCTGCCGTTAGAGTAGGACTTGGGTTTCCACCTTCTATGTTTAGACGCACGACGTCCGTTCCAGAGCAGTTCAGTTGATGAACAGAAACTGGAAAATACATGTTTAATATCTGCATTTGCGTCGTCATTCATAAATTCAGTTCTCAATGATAGTGGAAGGAAATTTTCACATTTGCTAATATAATGGAATTGCAAGCAAATGGTTTTTATGCAGAACTGAAGCATATGTGAGAGCTTACATTCATATCTGACATATATATGATGTACTCGCCTTGTAAAAAAAAAAAGAAGTTATCTCAGAACTACTGAATACTTACCCGGAAAAGCAAAATTAGCTGTGCCTCTCTGTATAATAGCCAATGAGTCATCAAAAACGGAAACTACATATTGCCTCGTGTCAGAGGGAGGCAGCAAACTTCCAGACGCACCAAAATCCGCACAGGACGGATTATCGACTGTCACAACTCCTATGAAACCTGAAAAAGCGAACAACAAATGTTAGTTCCGAATTAGCCCACTCTTCAACTCCAGGGTAGCGAGACAAAAGTTGTGAAGAACAAACATATGTTTCACCTTGAATATTGTCGTAACTCCCGAGTAATAAGCTAAAGTAACTCTCACAAGCCTCTAATGAAAACTGCGTATACATGGCTGATTAGTGAAAATTGGTTTAGTAGTTCACAATTCAAAATATTATCAATGAATGGCTGACAAACAATAGATATCAACACATATAAATCTGCATGGCTCTAGAGAACTGCAGGGCAGTTCCCAAAGGTATTCGGTCAATGATAAATTTGAGGTTCACTTGAAAATGAACTTGTCCTAAAGTTCTCCCATATTTCTCAGCCACCTCTAAGGTTTTCGTCTATAAGTAATTTTAAGCCTCGCACCGAATCATACTCGCAGTTTCATATTAATTTTTTATATTAAATGTTTCCTACCGCCGCAATCTCTGAATATGAGAGGTTGAACTTGAAAGCTGACAGGCTGGAATAAGTCGGTCGAGCACGGTGGAATAATCTTATATAGAATACTAACATTATACCTGCCCCTCGATTCCTATTTTAATGACATAAAATATATCATTTAAAACGCCCATCTCTTTTTGCCATTCCAAAATTTAAAATTGTAAAGATATAATTTATTGGATGCGGAAAAATATTCAGGCGAAGGAATACTACTCAGCTCTGCCGATTTCGCTAGATTTTAACTTTATGGCATTATAACTTGAACTTCCATCTATATAAACTTAGAGTGGCCATTGAGGTATAAATATTGACAATCAATCTCACAAATTGAAATTAATTTTGAATCAAACAATCACTTAATACAAGCAACTTACACGTGCTCTCAGTTCCCTTACTATCCTTCCACACTTTCAGGAAAGTTACTTTTGGGATTCAAATTTTTGGACATATATGTATGTTATGACATATATGTATGTTATGACATATATGTATGTTATGACATATTATTAGCTCAATATATATGTATATATTGAGCTAATAATTTTTCATCATAATAATTTTTTTTTCATTTCCCATCACTATGCTAGACTAACTAAATATAAGTTCACTAATTTTCATGGTAAATTTACGCACTCTCTGCAATATTCAATAAAAAAATGACAGTAACACTTCAGCGTCTAAGTTTAATGACAAATGTGATGAATGTGAACCATTTACCCATTAACTTTGTCGATTTGTACAGTAATGATGAATTTTGGGTTTTAATGCATCATAACTAATAATCTTCTCTTTAATCTATATATATTGATACTACCAAATCACATACACTTGTAGTTCGGCTCGGAGGCAGGAACAAGGAAAAAAATTGTTCCGTTAGATCACGGCTTTACGTTGGAACACGTATTATTGTGCATGGTTTTTCCGTAACTATACTATGCTCAACTTCCCAAAAGGTATTAAAAATAACAATCTTCCTACTTACTCGTTTCGTCTTTTTCCGTCGGTATCGAAGACGCTACGGTAAGAATGACAGGCAAAGATGGATCTGTGAAAACTTCTTTCACACACACCGACATCTGCGTGGCCTCAGCCCCCATAGTTGCGTCGTACGTCCAGCTCATGGTAGTGATGGTGAGCAAAGTATCAGGATCAGCGGCTGTGAAAGAATTTTACTGGTCGTTGTTGCAGATAATTTCCCTTTTATTCGCGATTTTTCGTTCATATAACACACTATTCAATATGTTAAAATTTTATGTGCAATTAAATTGTTACAATTACGTACATTACGTAATTGTAATTTTGTTTTCCACTACGTTACGTTGCACTATTATAGTAAAGACAAATTATCTAAATTTATTCATTGACATGGCCCAAAAATTAGTCTTACAAATTCTAATGTATACACCATAGTCCCTGAGATTTGAAAATCCTTCTTATCCTATCGTCTTCCTGTTACTATAATAATTCTTGAACTAAAGCTTGTTATTCAGTCCACACTCAAAAAATAACCCCACGTCCAACAAAGAGCAATAGTTTAACATATGGAGTAAATTTATATTTTTTTTTACAATAAATGTTTAATTCTATAAAGGTAAAATTAATATCGTTCTAATTTTCTTTCCCGAGCTGGCATCACATAAACAACACATATTCTACAGCAGTCGCTCACAGTACACGACATACGCGGTATATTTAAATTCTTCACCATAAGCATTTTTGAGCACCACCTCACCACCAGTACCTGCTGCTCGAAGAGCCCTAAATCACAAAATATTTTTGTCCCTGGCAGTAGCGTGCCAGCACCGCACAAATCTAGATTTATATCTCACATCCTGCAGCACATGCAAGGTAGCAGCGCATGCATTTAGGCCAGTAACATGCATGATGTACTGTTCACTATTACCGAGCTTACAAATTATCAGCTGCACGCTGGATATTGCACCATTCAGCAACTACACCTGTAGTAACAACATGCAAAACTTCCAATTTCTATTCACCTACATACCGCCAGCAACTTGCTTGACATGATACAACTTACCGACTTTACTGCCGTCCGTCAGCCCCACCAGCAGCAGCAAGGCGATGATTCCCACTAATGTTAAACGCGTCATGTTGAGCTTTTTGTTGTAGACGCTCGACATTTGACGTCGCTCTGACGTGAGCTTCTATTTGAACATTAGAGTAAATTGTGAACAAACCTCTGTTATGTATTAATGATAAAGCATGAAAATAAATAGATACGCAATCTCCCGTCACGTATTTCTTGGGTTACTTTCCAGGAATCTTCCAGATACCCGCTATGTAGCACATCAATTTTTTGCCATTTATTCGGTTTGTTTAACGAATAATTGGTAAATATTCATTCGTTGAAGTGCTTATACACCCTTGACGCACTCTTATTAAAATAATACATCGCATCATTCCTTTAAAATTTTCACATTGGCACTTTTACCAAACTGAATTAATACCAGTTGTGGTATGCTAATCGATATATTTAAGCTTATCCAACAATCCACTTTTTATTTGAACGTTTGAAAAAAATATGAATATAGAGAGTTGTGTAGATTCCATGCTTTGAAATTTGCAATTTAGAAGAGCAATTTCAGTCTAATTACGACTTAGTATAATGGTTACCAATAATACATTATTCATCATAGTTTGGATTATTATTCACACATAGGTTCACACATACTACAATACAGCCCATTATTCGTGGTTTATTCAAATTAAAAATAATATATCATATCATATATCGAAGTGATGAATACAGTTAGCGACGAAATTGTTCGTACGCACCTTCATTTTCAATGTTTTCTTGAATAACTCTAAAATTCATGAATATGTGAGCCTAAAATTTGATTGAACTAAACAGCGTGTAATAAGAAAAATAACACTACATTTTCAGAACAAAATGTAATTTCATAATGTTTAACATGCAAAAATTCCCCAACACTTTCATACACAATTATTCGTACAGTTGGAAAATACCGACATAGTTGAAATATTAATAACCAATGGCATGTCTTCATAACCTCCAGCATTCTCTTTCTATAGTTTTTGACGAGATTTGCAGTGGCATCCGCTTTGATATTATCCTAGTGGACATTATTATCGGTGACGTCATTCGAGAGGTGTCGGTTCCTGCCGTTTGACTGCAAAATTCAAGATGGGCAAGACGAAGGAGCTCCGTGTGGATTTGAGAAGTAAATTAATTGAGCTACAAATTTTGCAATGGTTATGGGTGCATCTCGAAATGCCCGAATATTTCAAGATCCACGGTACACTTTGTGAGAAAGAAATTTGTAGAGTTTGGTACAGCACACACATTGCTTGGATGAGGATAGGAGCCAAAACTATCGCAGCGATCGTCTCGAGAACTGTGTTGTGAGGTAAATATGAATCCAAGAGTGGTGCTGAAGGACGTTGCCAGTAGATTAGCCAGTGAGGGAACAAGCGTGAGTTAGCTTACCATGCAGCGTATCATACAGCGTACTATACAGCGTACCATGCAGCGTACAATACCGCGTACCATGCAGCGTACCATACAGCGTACCATACAACGTTGTCCCAACAAGAATGGCCTGCATAGACGCATGCCTCAACGACTCCCACTTCACACACGACATCATGTTGCTGCTCGTTTTGCCTTCGCAAGATCTTACGTGGACGAGGGAAAGTCTTTTGAAACCAAGTATTATTAAGTGAAAAACAAAAATTGAGCTATATGAACATAATAGTAGAAAGGAAGATTTGGCGCAAAAAAGAGACTTTCCTTCCGAAGAACACAATCCCAACAGTAAACCATGGGAGTGGGTCAATGTGTAATGTATTTGTTTCTCCTCAAGTGGCACCGGGAAGTTAGTGCCAATTGATGGAATAATGAACTCAGATGTTTATATATCGATTTCGAAGAAAACCCTGCAAACGTCGGCTCTGAATATGGGTCTTGGACGACGATGGATCTTTCAGCAAGATAATGATTAGAAAGCTTCAACCACTTGGCTCAATAAAGCAAAGGTGACTGTTCTTTCATGACCAGTAAGTAGCCGCGATTTGGTCCCGATTGAGAATTTCTTGCAAGACTTGAAAGTTAGAATCAATAATCGGCCTCCTAAGAATCGCCAGGAATTGAAACAAGTCGCATTTGAATAATGAAATAATTTCAAACCGGATAACACTGCGAATCCCGTCAATAACTATAGGAAGAAACTGCTGGAGATTATCAAGATGAAGGGACTTGCCATTGAATATATTATTAATACTGCAACGAAGTTAATATTCTCTAACTGTACGAATAATTATGTCTAAAAGTGTTGGGGAACTTTTGCACGGTAAAACGTCTTGAAATTACATTTTGCTCCGAAAATACAGTGTTATTTTCCCTATTACATACTACTTAGTTCAATCAAATTTTAGGCTCATACATTCATTGATTTTCGAGTTATTCAAGGAAATATCGAAAAGAAGGGGAGTACGAATAATTTTGTCGCTAACTGTATTTCTGTCATTGGTCATTTTCGATGAATTGTGATGTTCCTCTGTATAAGTTTATTTAAAACATGTGGATGAAAAATAAATCAATTACAATCCCGATTTGACGCAATGAAAATAAAGTCGATATAAAATTTCACGATATAAATATTTCTAAGAAGCTGGCGCATCTGCAATATTCAATTCGCAAATTAAAGTGAGTTCGGAGCATAAACCGATCTGTAATTCATATTACTGGATTTGAAAAATATTTAGAAGCAATTTAATGTAACCGCTGAATGTCAATTACTTTAATTTACCCGGAAATCAAGAATAAACAAAGTATTTCAGCAGAAATTGTATTGCGTTATGTTTACATTAATTTGTTCCTGATGTTTTCATCATCGAATGCAATTTTCGTGTGCTCAAGTAGCTACTATGTACAATTGAATTGAATAATAATTTTTTATTTGTATAATATACCTTGGCTCTCTGCCAAGTCTTTAAAATGGTAATACACTTCTCGAAAATTATACACACAATTTTTTATTGGATATAGTTCAATAGATTCAGGAATTACCTTGCCGTTTTTGCTGAAATTTTTGCTGAAGCGTATTTCCCAGACGTGATCAACGTCTAAAAAGACAACGACTGGCCAGTGTCTTATCCAGCAGCATCAACCATGTCAAACCTCTTCTATCTACACTCGAGCAGTATCTCTTTTATCAAGAAGTGATCTAAAACCCTGATAAATGAAGTCCTCTGTCCTGTTACATTTTCATTAGAAAAATATGTCACATCATTCGATGTTATTCTTATTCATATGTTGTAGCGAAAAATATATTTTTTCTTACCGGGAAAACATTTGTTGAATGCTGCAGAAAAATATGTTGATCACATCTTAATATTTATTTATCAGTTAATGGGATCTGTGCAGTCTGGCACCACAAACATAAATAAGGGTTGTTCGGTTGCGTACCTTGTCGTGTCAAGAAAGAGTGAAATTGAAATTTCACTCTTAGAGGAAGAATACAAAAGGATTGGAGGGATGGGAGTTAAGGATTAGATCAAAAATTGAATCTTGTCTTGAAAAAATTTAATTTGTTAGTAATAATTTTTTTTATATGTAAAATATTTTATTCCAAATTTTGAAACGAGAATAAAATGGAGCTATAACTTCTGGGGAATGAGTCTTTTTAAAGGGGTCCTTATTTACTTAGAAATAATACGCTTTCTTGTAATTAACAGGATTAATGATGATTACAGGGATTATGGAACTGGCATGTATTAAAAATTGTATTATAACACACTTAACTGAGGTGAGGCAGATAAGTATCCTTTATTTTTAAGATACATTAATAAATGCAAAAATTGTTCGAATCAACTTTATCAACAAATCGTAGAAATAGCTTGAGGTTGATTTTATTGATAATTTTACCATATATGAAACATATGCTATCCCCTTTTACGATGCTATGCTTTAGTGTGGTTCTAATTCTTCGAAGCATGTGTTGTGAAAATACGAAGCGAATTGCGTGCTTCGTGCGGTCAGGAGAACGGATCGAGGGCTTCTAGACCACACCGTCGTGAAGACTTTGTGTCCCAGGTGGCCCGTGTGGTCCAAATAATAAGTGTGGCCTAGGTAGCCCGCACTTCCTATAATGTTTTCCGAGAAGATTTTGAACACTTTAAATTAGGTTTACTATCTAATCTCCTTAATTCTTGTTTAGACTACACCAGATTGACTAACGTCAACTCTATTTCTAATGGTTTCCATCGTTTTCCCAAATGCAGAATTATTCATTAACTCGAAGAAATCTTTATCAAAATCTGATTTTGCTTGTTGTCGCATTTATGTGTTCAGATCTATGTATGGCTTAATCCATGGACTTTCATCAAATTCTAATATTCTATGGATTTTCTCTCCAATTTTCTCATGCAGTTTCAAATTACTATAATGGATTAAATATTTTTCACTCCTACCAGATGAGGAACTAACTTATGAACATCCCCTATTTGAATATTTTCAGGAGCTAGAGGTAAATCCTTATGATTGTCATGCGGGTCGTTTGGATACCTACAGACAACTTCACTAATGTCGTCTTTATTATCTTTGAATGTTTCATTTTCTTTCAACCGTCTGAAGTTTCCTGTTGGTAGGCTTCCTAACATTGCCCAGCCATATTACTTTTTTGCTTCCATGTACGATATATAATTATTCGGTTTTTGAGGATTATAATTTTCGGTAATGTATTTGTTGTTTGCTTTAGCACAGTGTTTCCCAAAGTGGGCGATATCGCCCCCTAGGGGCGGTGGAAAGATTTTGGGGGGCGGTGAGGAAAAAGAGGGCGATAGGAGGGGCGGCAGCCCGAAGTCGAAGTCAGACGTCCCAACGTTTGTTTGACGATTTGTACACAACATGTGCAGCACACGACTCCCAGCGATGGTTTTTTTCACCCAGATCTGTTTTTTAACCTCTCCTGGGTTTACGTCTCGGACAAATTAACGGCCGGACTCGCGGCCGGTCTCATGGCCAATTTCCAAATTCAATGCTCAAGGAATATCTCTCAAACTAATGAACTTCACTCGATGAAACTTGGTACCTGTATTCATAAGGATCTAACGGTAATGTTTCGCTCGTGAAAATTTCTGAATTTTGCCTTCATTCGTTTTTGCCATAGTTTTATGGCAATACGGGCCGAAATTCACAGTGATCAAGGAATTTCTTCCAAACTACTGAACAGATTCGAACGAAATTTTGAATTTACAGTCCTAACTACCGAACGGTAATGTTTAGCTCGTGAAAATTTTTTCAATTGTGCCTTCTCGTTCGCGAGTTTTTTCATATCACCTTCATTCCTGATTTAAACAGCAATACGTGCTTAAATTCGCAGCAATCAAGAAATTTCTTCCAAACTACTAAACAGATTTGAACGAAACTTAGTATTTAGATACCTTACCTCAGCAACAGTGATGATTAGCTCATTATAATTTTTCCGATTTTATCTTCGTTTGCGAGTTATACGGCTATACGTATACGGATATACGTAAACGGCTCTTGGTTAAACCGGCCGGTAGAAAAGACGGTCGTTTCTCCTATATCTGTATATCTTGTGAACGAAAACAAAATAGAAAAATTGTCACGAGCTAAACATCACCGTTGAGAGGTTAGGTATTTATATACAAAGTTTCGTTGAAATCTGTTCAGTAGTTTAAAAGAAATTTCTTGATCGCCGCGAATTTAAGGACAAATTATCCGGCGGTACGGGCCGAATATAAGAAAGTGTGAAATCAAGAATGACGGTGAAATGAAAAGAAAAAAAACTCGCAAACGAAGGTAAATCGAAAAAAATTATGAGCTAAAAATTCACCGTTTGGTAGTTAGGAATGTATATTCAAAATTTCGTTCAAATCTGTTCAGTAGTTTGGAAGAAATTCTTTGATCACTACGAATTTCGGGCTGTATCGCAATATAACTCATGAATGAAGGTGAAATTAAAAATAATTTGCGAGCTAAACATCACCGTTAAGTTCTGATGAATACATGTTCCAAGTTTCATTGAGCTGCGTTTCTTAGTTTGGGAGATATTACTTGATAATTGAATTTGGAGATTGGTCGTGAGACCGGCCACGAGTCCGGCCTTAAATTTGCTCGAGAACGTCCTAGGTTTCTAGTGCTGAAACGGCTAAAACAGCTGAAAAACACATTGGTTCACGAAATGAGGTTCTATTTGTGAAATACACAATTGTGTTTAACCTTCCTCTATTAAAATTGCCGCGCACTAAATTTCAAGAAAGAGGCGTATGTTTTTATATGTGTCTGTGGGGGGCGATAGAAATTCACTAGAAAGCCAAAGGGGGCGCCAGCCTGAAAAAGTTTGGGAACCACTGCTTTAGCATATCTTTTAGATATCATTGCATCACCACCTCGAATACCTTTCACAATGAAAAGTATCATATCGGTTAGCAAGTCTAATTCTATCTCAGTAATCTTTAATAGAGCATCAAATGTTAAACTTGCAGCCGTGAAATAATGAGCTGGATCTAATTTATATGTTTTCAAACAGGTATATCTAAATTTCTCTAACACTTCACGTAATAACAAGGTATCAACTTTTAGGTATGGATTATAATAATCTTTGAATGTTTCGCATTTGAACACATCCCAAACCTCGTTAGTGTGTTCTTATTCTGTAGCAGATATATGCTTATCATTTAAACCTTTATGATGAATGAACTGCATCACGAGAGACAGCAGCTGCAAGATATCACTCAAATCCACAGAACCTTGCTTGCCTACTTTCCAGTGCAAAAACCCGCTCACGTAACGCAAGTGTGCGGTCATTAGGAGGTACACAATCCGGGCACATTTCCGAGTAGCTATAGTAACGAGAATCCTGGACAAGCTCTCAAAATATGTTAGCGCGACGGTGACGTCCGAACGCTCTTACTTCAGCCCCAGCCAGACAACTAAACTTTAAACGTGCAAGAAAGTAAGCTTGGTATTTTTGACACTTTTGATAAAAAAGGCACAGGTGGATAATGATGATGAGTATATATATAGAAGCAAGAACAATAAAATGAACCCAGCGAATGGCTTGCACTGAATCTATTGTGCGTAGAAATTAACCAATAAGATTCTGTAGGCAAAAATAATAAACTTAAAAAGAAGCGGCAATAATACTAAACCCTAGTTATTCCTAACAAAAATAATTATAATTCACAAATATCCCAACACAATCTATAAATATCACCAACAGCATTAATCACATAAGTTACACCGTCAGTGAGGCATATGCTGCTTCACGACTGACAGATTAATTACAAAGTGACGCGTATCGAATTGTCGCGAACAGCATCGCTTGGCCGAACCTACCCACTACCCAGCCCATAAACTGCCATCAAGCCCACAGCAGAAGGCAGTAGGCAGAGTCCTGCCGGAGGTGCATGGGCGAACTTGTCTGCACCTGCATAACTAAATGCATGCATATGTCGTGTCGAAATTGCGATTTGATGGAATCCGCAGCCAGTTGCCGAATCTGTACTATCAGCATTTCATTACTATAGGAATCTGGGGTCAGGTCAGTCAGCCAAGTTTTATGTTTCTCTAAATGAAAATGCTAGTAAAACGAAAAGATAAAACACTAATGAAAAAAATGAGTACAAATTTAACGGCACAAATATAATGAATAACTGTTTGAATGATCGGAAAAAAATTACAAGTAAAATCGCGGTACAAAAATTAGTGACGCTTGAGGCGCGGCCACATTGCCTACGTGTGATACAACCGACGCGGCGCAGCTGCGAGCGTTGGTGAGGTCATAAGTCATAACTATTTACTACTTACGGCAGTCAGCCCGGTAGTCGTGACTGTATGTCCGTGCAGCCAAAACAACTTATTGGGTTTTTGAGCAGAATTACATTAACAAGAAACACACGAACATTAAATGGATCTTTTTTACTTTTCAACATGCAAAGTAAAAATTAATTAAATGGAAAGGACGGGATTAATTATAGCTTTTTATTTATTTTAAGACCAGCATACGTTGCAGAGTTTGAATTTATTGATCCGTGTGTTATATAACTCACTGGTATTCAAGGTTGGCCATTTATAACTGACTGAAAATTAAAATGGATTAAACTCCCAGCAATAAGTGAAAGTTTAAAGTAAGTAATAGATAGGAAGTCTGTAAATTTGCTTGTAGATTTGAGCTATGAAATCAGGAGTGCTTTATGGTTAAGAAGTGAGAGTTAGATCTTTTGACTATCATCATTATAATTTTCACCTACTTTCCGACAGGTACACAGAAATTACCTTCGCCTACAGTTACATTGTCAATCTTTTCATTCATATTGTCTTCATATTAACGGAATCTGACTAAGATTTCTGTTCCACCGATGATGCAGGGAAAGTACTTGGAGAAATTATCACGTTGCTTTTATCGGCATCGTCGTATGAGATGGCGATGAAGTCAGGCAATGTAATCCCATCCTCTGACTCAAAAAATCCATAGCAATAAGACCCCAAATTGATGTTGGAGCAATCCAAATTGATGGTGTTTTGGTCTACGGGTTCTACGGCGTCCGCGTTGGTCGTTTTGTATATCAAGTACTTCCTATCAGGGTTTAGGTTAAGGAAGCGCAAATCGACGGACGTTTTGGAGGGCAGGGCTGCCAGTGACAAATCTACGCAGAGAAGACAGAGCATATGAGCAATAAGATCTTCACTAATTTGTTTTAATGCTTGAAACATAATCTAATCAAACGTCATCTGGCAAACATCTAATGGGTTAGGTATTGATTCATATTTTAGTTAATTTTAGTGCATTGTTTTCATGAGATATGTACCATTGTTTTTATTATTACCAGAATGAAACTGTATTGACCTTATCCAGACTATACACGTTAAAAGTTCATTTTATTTCATTACCAAATTGATCTTCGTTATGGATATTATTATTATTGATCAATAATAATGATACTGATCTATTATTGATCAATCAGAAATCCTTACAAATTGAATATGACGTTCATCGTAATCAAAAATTTTATTAGACGAGTTCTTTGAGCTTGCTTCGGCCTGTTAGTTCAAAATGATCTCATTTTCTTATCTAATATTCTTACCTTGAAATTCATCTTTTGCTACTCCAGTGACGCCGCTGACAGAGTTAACGAAGCAAAGTTCATATTTATCTTCACCCACAGTGAATGTGTCGGGCACAGGGCACACCGCATTCGTACAGAATTCCAAAGTGAAATCAGTAGGAGCATCTGCATATTTGCGTATCAGCATCTCAGAGACTGTAGGATCGGTAGCCGTTAGCAGTTTGTTTGCGTAGCTTAGAGCTTTTACTGTACCTGTTGAAACAAATCTAGTTAATTTCGAGAGATTTTTTATGTTGTAAATTAATAGAGATAACACAATATTAGGTACTATTTTCTGGTTTCATAGAAAATCTTCTCGATTATGTTTTCAATTAGGATGGAAGAAAAGCAGGAGAATAAATGACTAGGGCAATAAGCGAGAAAGATTTCCGCTCAAATGAAATAAGTAGCTGTATTAAGATCATTATAAGCTCTTTTCCAATTCTACCCAAAATTTAAAGAAATTTTAAGGTGTTCTCTACGCAATCTTATTAATTTTCAGTATTTATGAAATCACGCATTCTCCCTGCATCACTTGCCCTAGAACTTGATATCTGCGCCCATGCCTCACTGTTATATTAATACCGTCATATTCATTATATGCTACTTGAGTTATTGTCATCGAGCGTTGAATTATTTATTTTGTATTGCATGTACTTGCGCAAATAATATTAGGATTGCCTCAAAGTATATTTATTTTTCATACTACAAGTCGGTTATTTTACTTAATTACAGTTTCTTTTTTGTCTTCAAATGCATATGTATCCATTCATTGTTTTACTGTACATATAATTAGATAGGTTCATACTCAGAATTAGGAGTAAGCTTATTGCGATAGGAACAGATGCATTACATGCATTTTATACATCAAGGCATTCAATATACCAGGTAAGCATTGAGCGAAAAAATTGTATAAGATTAATTGTTGCTATTGGTACAAACATGATTGTATTGATATCGAGATACAAGCGAGAACATATCTAAAACACGAGCAGGCGAAAATAGCTATAAAATAAGGTCCATGAGATATCAAACATTTGATCGGTGGGAATAAAATCATATCAAATGAACCCATTTTAGAGCGTAGTGGGGCAAGTGCGATTCCGCGGGAATGAAGGAAATATGAAGTTTCTTCCGCATGACATGTTGCGTTCCATTTGCATCGTTTGGCGAGCTGAGATGGCTTGCCACAGCCGGCTTGGAGTTGAATAAGCTACATGTCTATATCAGCCCCCTAATACGTGGCTGTGTCCCCTAATTGGGGGAAGAAACAGACTGTGGGGGTAATTTATAATGGAATGTGATGCGTGTGAGAACCAAGTGATTCTCTAAGAGGAGGGGAGGGAGAGTAATAGATTGTGGTGCTAGAGAACAAGCGAGCAAGAGATTTTCAGCTATCGTGGATTTGTATGAGTGGCAACTGTGGCTCTGTTTGAATGTGTAACGAGATATGCGGCGAGTGCGTGATGGCTTAGATTGGATCAAGATGTCGAAAGTAGAGTGCTAGCTAATGGCAAAAGAAAGCAAAATAAAAAATATACATTAATTATACTGTGTCTGTGCTTCTGCTCCTTTAGTCTATTTTTAAATTAGATTTTTGTTATCGCAGTGAATATATTTTCAATTGAAAATTATTAAATATCCTACAAGGAGAAAATTTTTTTTTTAATAAATTGGCGAGCGTATTTAGAGGGCTCACTGGAGGTTAACTCTCATCCCAATTCCATTATCAAACAATGGTATTAAAAAAATTAAGCTTTTGATAGTTTTGACAGTGGAAAAATGTCTCCACTTGGGGCAACTGTTTGCACAAGCTGTGAATTGTCTGCTTGGGTTCTTGCCCTCTGGGTTCTTATTTTTAATTCACCATGACAGCAAGATCAATTTATGGAAACGAAGGTTTAGAAATCGATTAACAAAAAATTCAACGAAGTAATTAGTATTCTACAGTCAACACTAGATTGGTTATCATCAGCCCCGTTCCGCAATGTTAACACGGTACAGTTACAATGCAAAGCTAATCCGTAAGTTAAATAGTTACTCGTTTTCCGTTAATATTTACTTTATTCTGTTGTATAAACAGGTTTCCTACAGAAGCTAGTTGGAATTTCGACAAAATATTTTTTTTAGAAAAATATTTACATGAAAGAATTGGATTCTGAAATTGCCCAAAGGCTGTTAGATTAGTATTCACTCTAGCAGTGATGTTAGAGTGGTCACTTCTTCCAGTGGGAATTTCGAAAGTAATAATAAACAAAACCTTACAAAACAGTTTGGTCGGCGTAACTTCCTAGATACCTATGTTGATATGGTCACTAGCAAGGTATCCTGGATGTATATATGGGGAGTGGGAGAGGAAACGGGAATACTCGTAGGTTCTGAGTTCGGACTAATTAAATGCAGTGAAAAAATTTATTTGAAACTCAAAATATTAAATGCTCGGCTAAAGCCATGATCCCATGACTTAGATAATGAAAAAAGTAGTAGGAGTATGTACGAGAGAAAAGCAGAAGAAAACATAACCAACAGTAAGCTGTACATAAAATGTAGCATTAAAACAAAATTTTCTCATACGTATAATGGAGTAATTTAAATTATATCGCTTCAAGTGCAAGCAGTGGAGAGAAGCGATGAATCTCAACACGGATTCTAACGGTATATACACACATTAGCATAGAAATTTTTTTATGGATATAATTAAAGCCTTTCATGCAGTAGAAATGGAACTTCCATTTTAGTAATTATTAAAGCCATTATTGAATGGTTCTGCAAATTTTTAGGCCACTGTTGAACGATACTAACTGCCCATCAATAACAGCGAATGAAAAGAGACAATGCAAGCATTAAATTTGAACACATAAGCTACTGCTTTATTGATTTCGTGAGGGAAGAATTGATTCAAAATTAGTTGACTTACCATCGATTTCTGATGATAACGAATATCTTCCATGAAAATTATCTTTTCGTTGTTGATTTCGTGAATGTGATATTCGTGAGTTAAGTTCTGTTATTAAGTGGCGTATGAGTGGAAAGTACACGTACTTTCTGGCCGCGAAATTAACTAAAGACGCACTTTACCATACATCACAATTATCTAGAAGAACACTGCCGGAATATGTAATGTTCACCAGATCGAGTAAGATGATTCCACCGTTACTGCCGACCTTTGCTCGTGCCGAGGGTGGTGAGATATGATTAATAATAGAAAAATTAGAATCAGTGCATTTAATGCAGCGTATTGATTTTGTTTCTCAATCTTACCTTCTGTTTCTGATCGTTAATGTGGCCACATTAATTACCGCCAAGAGCCAGCAAAATTATTACTTGCTTCATTAAATAGTTAGGAAAATTACTTCATATACCGTATTAGTTCTGGACAGCTTTGGCGTTGATTGAATTAATATGGCATTTATTGCCTAAATTAACTTCATTTATATTGAATATAGATGTATGTAGCTATAAAAACTTAACGTCTTCCATTGATCTGAGCATTACTTTGGCTGCGATAGGTAGCCATTTTTCATGGTAATTTTAATTTTGTAATGTATTATGAAATTTTCTTTCATTTGTCGACGAGATTAGGATTGAACATACTTGTTGTCGGCGTAGCATCAGAGGCCGTTGTCGGCGGTATTGGCACGCAGACAATAGTATTGGGTGAGTTAGTGTCCAGTTGATTTGCACACACAGTGCCTGTATCTGTTCGCGCATAACAAATGGAGAGTGGCGGCGTGTCTGAAGAGCTTGAGGCGGGGCAGGAGTCAGCCGTCAGATGGCCGGTTACCATACTGAGTCGCACGTACTCGATTTCATAGCAACTCAGTTTAAAGACAGGGTCTGAAACTAATATTATATAGAGTGGAAATATGAAGATGACTTGAGATTCAGGAAAATATAAAATATGAGCAAAATTTCTATAAAATATGAGCAAAATTTGATGTTAACTTTGTTTTAAAATTACAATCTAGTACATGCATGAATGATAAATTATAGAAAGATAAGCTCCTCTTCAATTAAGAAAAGTTTCATTACTCGTAGTGTAATGAATATTGAATATTAAATTTTGACATGTTTCCAATTTCAATAACTTACAAGTCATCGAATAAGTTATTGAACCTCTCTCTGTCCCTCCAGCAGTCGTTTCAAAAACGAGCTTATATATTCTTTCAGTCGAGTCAGGCAGGACATCTCCATCCACTGAAAATACTGCACACTTTGGATCAGTGTCCACCGCACCTAAGTATGCTGAAGGAACAACAAGCAGCCTTAGTACGAAGACAAACTTATAGTAAAGATCAAATACATCAATCAGCTAAGTCTTAACTTAACTCAATAATGGTTTTCCTAAGTCGATTGAGGAAAACTTTATTAAGGACACAAAAATTTGATTTTTTATTTTGTGTTTACATTCTTATCATAATTTGAGGAGTGCTATGCATTATAAACTGAAAACCTGACTTTCATGACACTGTTGAAAGTTAATTGAAGAAAATGAATGTTCGTGTAGTTGGGATTTGTAACCAGATTTAAGCCTCTGATTAGCAACAATTTTAATTCTTAATAATGCGATGATTTTTGAAATTTCGTTATTAGCTTTACAAGTGGTTTTGATAACTACTATTTCTAAATGAACTGCAATGCAACTTAATCTGTGTATAATATCAATTGAAGGCAATGATAGAATAGGCATTTAAGTAAATTTCTTTATCAATATTAAGGTCTTCAATGACCGATAATTTACGCAATGCATAGTATTTCAGTACCCAATAATTAGGGCAAGATAATGAATGCCCAAGTGAAGTGTTCATTCATTATTTTACCATCACTTATATATGTTTCGATACGTGTTACAGTTTATTTCAAGCATTCTTCTAAGATATAACCTTATTTTTGAACACTCTGAATGCCCCCACAGTAACTTCTTCGTGGCATAATCCCAATTCCTGCACTGGATATAAGAATGAATGCACAGGCTACTTACGTGTTTCCACCCCCGGAGGATTTGGTGATACCTCAAGAATGACGCTCTCTGGATCCGCAAAATCAGTCGCTCTACACACTTTTAACGTCGTCGTTCCGCTCATTCCGAGCGGTCCTTCAACGTATGTCCAATCCATCTTCGTGATGTCGAATTCAATAACGGTGTCTGTGTAAGACATTATGAGTTACACTTTCAAATTCAGAGCATCAGGGTAAATGATTTCACTATTAATTTTCAACACACTATTAAACTTGATACTAGATTTGAATAAGATTTTACTTTTCACTGATACAAAAATTGTTATTTTTATTTTCTTGAATGATGCAACTCATTCTAATTTTCAAATACACTACCTCTAATAAACTCAATGCCATAATTTCAAGGTCTTATTTGAAGAGTTTCCAGGCAACGGAGAGTATTGGGCGACACCACCAATAATAGAAATAGATGGTTTAAAATAATTTAATGTACCGAACGCCGCAGTGTTATTTCAGGCCATAATAATAAACAGTAGAGCGTTATTACTCAATAAATAAGATGCACAGCTGTGAATAATATAAATCATCACTCGAGGTATCGCATCTGTAACGTCAACGCCACTCGCTTAAAGGAACAACACCACTTACAAGGTAATGCTGCAACATCCCTGTACGTGCCACACCACTAACCATCTACTGCAGCAACAGCACTGAACACAACAACACTCATTATCTTCACTCAAATTCTGCAACAGCGCAAGTGCACCGCACCAGTAACAATCTACACCGCAGCAGCATGATGAATAGTGAAAGACAACACACAACTAAATCATCAAGCTCCACCAAAATTCCTTAGCCGCAGCAGATGCAAATCACCACTCTTCTAACTTTAAACTAAATAGTAAGATATTGTACTATGTAGTAAGCAACTCCCAAGCAACTGCAGCACGTGAAGCAAGACACACCGCACTACTCATCTCTAGCGCCTGCACGATGTACTTTGTATAATTTTAATATATGACAGCCGCATTAACAGTACCTCTAGAATGTCTACATCATGTACACCAGTCGCAGAGCGATGCAGGCAGACTGATAACGCACAATTTACACCACCAGTTGCACAATAGAAAGCATTCCAGTTCTCATTACTTAGTTCTCAATACTGCAGCAGCGTGCTAGGTACCCATCACTCACCAGCTCTTGCTGCCATAATACATGTGACTGCCAGCAGCAGAATAGAGCCCAGCGTGGTATGCCGCATCATCCTAAACTTGATGCTGCCTGCGCTTTTCCAATCGATGCTGCTCAACATAATATTTTAAGGTAAATACAATATTAAATACAATAAAACTTGAAAAGAAAAGAAAACATGGGATTTCGTAATACGAGGTATTAAATATGTTTAATTTTAATGAACAGCTCTTTCGTGTCGCAAATACGGACAGCTTGACCAGACATTGCCCATAAAAAATATTCTCAACCGTGGGCAATTCCGTTAGACCAAAACTTTCATTTCCAATCACATATTCAGATACCTATTTGCTGATTTTCGAACCAAAATAACAATATGAGAAAGATCCGTTCGAACTCACATATAACAAGAAATATAATTTATTCTTCAATTTCAAAGTATAAATTATTTTTCCCACTGGATTTAAAATTCTATTTTAAATCCACTCCACTGCATTTAAAATTCTATTTTAAATCCAGTTTCAAATTTAGAAGGAAATCTAATTTTTTGCGATTTTTTAAATTGAATTTTGTATAGGGGTTAAATATTCATGGTGGAAATTTTATTTGATTTGTATTTTGTAAGGGAAATCATCGACCATAAAAGAAAAAGTTGCCTTTAAGCTTCAAAACAAAAGTTGGGTAGAAAGAAATTCATTCTAAATGGGAGCTTTAACTGAATTTTGATTTGTTTGCAATTATCTTTTTTGATTATTATCATTGGAATTAGTTCAAATTAGATTTGAAGAACTGGGAAGAACCAGGAAGTGAAATAAATGTTCTCAGAGTATTTAAGGGTAATCCGAGAGTAATCAGCCACTGGGGGGTAAATTGGATTATCAAGAATAGCGATTATATCTATCACGTTCAAAGATAGGTTGTCTAAAATTTTATTTTTATGACGATGAAATTAAGGCGAAGATTGAAACAAAACTTCCCAACACCTTGTGGGGAAAATGAGAATAGCAAAGCAGTGTAAGGCGACCGTTAATGAATTTTTTACATTCTTAGACTTCGTATAGCTAATTAATCATCAAAACAACGTTCGTGTAAGGGCCTGAAATATCTTTACTATGAGAGTGCAATTGTGTTAGTTGAAGTTTGTAGATAGATAGAGACGCAAATTTTATTTTACAACAAATCTTGTAATGACTTCACAAAGATATTTCATTGGTAACAATAATCAATAACCAGTTTTTTTATATGCGTGATGCTCGCACGTGCATTAATGTTATGTGATTTTCTATATAATCATATGTTCGTAAATATATTTTATATAATCATACATAATATATTTATTTTTTATAATTTTATTTAAATATATATTTTATTTAATCATATATTTGTTATAGTTATCATATGTTAAGCTCCTACGCCAGCCACGTGCGAGTTGAATTTTGTTATCTCTGATGTTATCCGTGTTGCCGTGTTCTACTTGCACAAGTGACCTATGCGCTATCAGTACTAGAATGATTGCATGAACCTTGCATGATGAACTCAGAACTTGAGTGTTTTGTTTCTATAATTATGCATGATTCAGTCAACAAATCTATGATGCAGATATTTATATACGGGAGATTTGAAGTTATCCTAATTTCGACCACGAATGAGAATTTGTCCTGAAATCGATATTTGAATGCTACGAAACGGGAAAACGATGTGAAATTATTCGCTTATAATTTTCAAGCGAAGTAATAAAACAGTTTGAGAAAAAATGAAATGCGGTATACCATCTTTTCCAAAATGAATATGTAGAAAAATCATTGTCCATATAGTAAGAACAAGAGATATTTTTGCTGAACAAAGTTGTCAACGCATCATGCAGACTCGAGCTGCTGTTATTAAATTTGTTTAGAAACGTAAACTCTTCGTTTTATCATTTATTTCTGTTGCAATTTTGTGGGAGATATATTGTCGAGGAGGCAAGGCAGCGAAATGCGAAAAACTCTGGAGTTGTTATATGGTTGAACTTTGATGAGCGTTATTGTCTGTGAGATAAATGAATGAATTACAAAATATTCAAGTGGCCCGGGGCATTCATGCGTCATATTCGAATTGAATGTAGTCAAAATAAATCAGGAATCTATTTGAAAATTTATGTAAATTTATAATGAAAATAATTAATAAACATAGTAGTAATGAAGTAGTAGTGACTAAATGTGGTTAATATCAAGGTAAAGGAATAAATTGAAGCATTCCTGCCCTGTTAATTTGTTGAACATTTTAGCGTATAAATGTTGCAAAGAAATAAATTTTGTGCATCTGCAAAAAAATGTAAAACTCAATTTTAAAATAGCTGCTAATAATATAATTTATTTATATAAAGTCTTTCATGCACTTATTCTTGTAAGTTTTTATTCATATCTTTATTGATCTGTACCGAGGGGCAAGGATAGCTCATTTTATGGCCAAATATCCAATAACCAATATATTACCTTCAATGAATTGTGCCTTAGAAGTGTTGATGTATTTGTTGAAGCTTCAACCAACGACGTCAATGATAGAGCAGCGAGGCAGCAACTGACAGTGCTTCGACGACCGGACGATAAACAAGCTCTGCTATCTGTGCACTCGAGCTACGTCATCTTTATCGAAGAGTTCTTCACTAATACAATAGAATAATATCATGAAAGAAAAAATAGGACAACAAATAGTTATAGCATAGATCTACTCATGCTGCACGTGTATTTTCTTTTTTCTTAACGAGCTAACCTGAGCCTTACAAGCAAGTCTATTTATAAACTCTCTTAAAGCACTGAACACAATTTCCATTTCCCCGAAAAAAAAGCGTTAAACCATTGCAAATTTTGTGGCGGACTTATGCCTTGACCTTCTTAAGAATTATAATAAGCAAAGTTTTTTACGAAAAATTTCTCCAACTTGGAGCGGGAATTTGGAAAAAAAACTTAAGCGAAACCTTAGTAAAACTCACTATCATTTATTGAAATGAATTATCCGTAAATATATAATGAATGATAACAAAAAATACCATAAAATTCTGTCACAGAATTTGCATGTCTCTTCCTAATAATGGCATCACAAAATGCAGAGCATGAAGCGTCTTTGGTTTCACGCAATAGTTATTTCTATGTCTTATTTAGATCTAGTTAAATACAACAATGTCTAATAATATAACCGAAATGAATGAGAAGAATGATAAGGCTAGTGTGTTATCTTTGACTTTAAGATCAGAGGTTCGAAGAATAGCGCTCTTGACTCCAGTTCGGAGAATTAAAGTGCGAGACTAGGTTTTTTGGGCCCTAATTTCCGAGGCCATCTCCACCAAAACAAAATAAATAATAGTTAATAATTCATTCCGTAGCATAGAAGAAGTATTAACTACAGTACATCATTCAAATAGTTCGCCACAATCGATTTCATATGTTCCCAAACCTTGTATATGCATATCAATTCATATAGAAAAGAATAGAACAGAAATGTCGGCACTGAAGAAATAGCAAGGGATCCGGCCTTTTGAACCAGATCTTTCCATTACTGACGATTGATTGAGATAGCTGCTGGACTTATTGCAAGGCTCGTTAGGTGCTAGCATTTTAAGACTGAACATACGCTCCTGCATATACAAGTTTAACTCCAAACATGCCTTTGCTTTGAGTTAACACAACACTACGACACTAGGAGTAATTTAGGCTCGTATAAGCTTTTCTCACGGATTGTGCCGCTTGATCTGTGCCTAAATATAATCTACTGAAGCTACCGAGATAAGGACCTCATTTGAGCTAAATTTTCTTAACCCTTATGCGTTAGCCGAGCGTAAATCTCAAAATAATTGTTTGATATCATTTTCAACTCTTTCGACAGACAGATGAACAATTTGGCAGCTAATTAATTTTCTGAGACTGAATTTCTGATTAACAGACTGAATTTTCGCAATTTATGGTTATAGTCTGGTAAATAAATTATTAGTCAACAAGTACAAGCTTTGACATTTGTTTAATAAAATAACAGTCCAACATGTAAAAAAGTGTGATGACTTTTTGCTTCAATCATATTCCAGAACTAGTACGAGTGCAATTCGGGAATGTTCTAAGAATAAATGATGGTTAAATCAAAAATAAATAAATAAATAAAATAAATTATCCCATAAAGATAATTTCCCTTAAGATGCTATATGACATCGACATGTTTATTAGAGTTTTGTAAGTTCATTTTACGAATGGTACGGTATTTATATATCAATTGTTTATATACCATGATGTTTCTAAGTACACTTGACAGCCTTATTTGATGATGATAAGATTACTAACAACTAAAATCAATGCTATATTTATTCATATATCATTATTCAATGATATATTTATTCATTCATTATTTCGAACGTCAGGAGGGATCACATGGAAAGCGGGTTCCACTGAAATTGAGAAAAACACTTGTTTATAAATGATCCATTTCATTGCTCAATTTAAAGAGCTGAAATTCCACAGGAGGTGATGTTAGAATAAAATTACACATTTTACATTACATTAGAATGCAGAATACATTAACATTTTGTTATGAGTGTTAGATTTTCAACTAAAATAAAAAAAAAATAAAGTTCCGTTTGAATACTCGTATTAAACCTGATAAAGAAATTATTAATCAAATAAAAAGCCTTGATTCGTAACAAACTTAGAACTTCATATACTCATGGTAATATTTGAACACATAACTTCTAGAATAAAGAAGCAGTATCCTCGAATACATCTAATATTTCTTCACTGTTATCGGTTCTAAATTTCGCCTGCCTGATTTTACTGGACTGAAGATTTTAAAACACACAACAGCCTTGCCATTGGAGCGTTCCCAAGCTCGCAAGTTATTCGTATCCAGAAATCTGACTAAACCAAGAAATTTCAGCTCTGTCAGAACATCGCCTATTTTCATTTCTTGTCCATATTGACCCTATTTCAGGTTATAAAGCTAATTTTGTTTTTTTTATCTCTGCAGTTAACTCTTTTAAATTAGTACAATGACACAATGAAAGTTTTACGTACATCAGAGGTTGTTTACACAAGAAATCCTAACTCTTCACTTACGGTAAATACACCTGCAACAATTAGGAAAAATTCCCACCGAATTTTCGATATGACGGTTAGCTTATCAATCCCCGGCCACTCGAGTTAGCCATCGTGAGCGCCTCGTGTCTTGAGCCCTTGCAAAGATAACGGCGACATCAATCATGAGCTTGCTTGTCTATCTCATACAGACTCTTGTGTTTTGTTATACAATGTACGAGGGGGACAAAGGCTACATTTATTTCGTAACTTTATCAATGATTGCACAAGAAGATTTTCTCATGAGCTAATTACATTACACACTATCAGTCTCAGGAGTTACTGAACCCTATTGCATTATGACATAAATTGCAGCAAGCCATAATAATGCTATTGCATCACGCCATCAATGATCAGTGGTGCATTTCAAAACTCTAGAGTGCAAAAAATTGCAAATTGCATGTGGGGAAACTTTTTAAAGAAAAAATCTTTTGCCAGTCCAAACTATGTTTTCATTTCGGTCCATTTCAGTGAAATTCGAGACCACTCTGAACTTCAGTCGATCAATTATACAATGCGTTTAAAAAGTACTTTCCAATGACCACACTTCTAGGGGCCGATGTCTCCGATGTTACACATGTATTATGAATCTCTTATTTTAGTTTTGAATATTAAAAAAATATATTTTTTTTTTATTATTAAAAATTTAATTTTTTCAAATTATTTATTCTGTCAATTGATTCATTCAATATGTCTCTGACTTTACGCGAGTGTGCAAAATTTCGGATCGAATGGACAAGTAGAAGTGTTTTAAATATCAATTATAAGAGTTGTAGCAGACAGACAAGAAGTGAAGTTAAAGAGTAGCGTGGAATAGAATAATTACAAAATAGAATAGTTACAAAGAATTTTTAAAAATTTTCTCCATTTCAATGATATGATAATGAATAATGTCAAATACAGATTTTTATATAACCGTACACGACTTTACAGCAGTCATGGTCTTCAAAAATATACCATTAAAAATAACTAACGTTGTTGAAAATTTTTAATACTGTTGGCATATATTTTGGAAAACATAAGTCAACAATGTTTTACTAACCTTATGTTGTAATTAAAATTGTAATAAAGATTGTGATCAATTAATGCATAAACTTCCTTAATCCTGAGCCGCACTCCTTAATTGTAGCAAAAGTACGATAATATGCGACTATTTTAGTTAATTAGCAGTTAAACAATTCAATGCGTCATTCACTGCAACGTATTTTAAATTAAATAAGCCGTATCGAGAACGCATGTGATGATTTAACAGAGAATAAATATTTATGTTCTGCACACTGATATCTACCTTCAGTCTGACATCTACCCTCAGTCTGACATCTACCCTCAGTCTGACATCTACCCTCAGTCTGACATCTACCCTCAGTCTGACATCTACCCTCGGTCTGACAGCTACCCTCAGTCTGACATCTACCCTCAGGTCCAATTTTAAGAACTAGTGCGGCTGAAGCCGTATCATCATAAGACTGAAATAGGGACACTGGTGCTCGGAAGTTAGGAAGGATTATTCAACTAGGATCCAATTCTACGGGTCTATTGGCTGCACCAAAGTAAATATGATACGGCACGTCATCGCAGGTAATTAACCGCTTTCAATTTAGTACAGTATTACAAATAATTTGACGTATCATCCAAAAAAGCTTAATTTCAACCTCGTGTTCATTTTCTGTTACGATTTGCTTCTGTATTTCCCTATTGACTCTCAATTATTGAACTTGTGTGTTTTGAATTATTCATTTAATGATCGACATTTTCATAAACGGCTAGAGCATGTATACTCTATCATTGCCCAGAGTATACTCTCTACCTGTGCACTCAATCTGAAATTTTGCACACTTCCGTAAAGTCGGAGACAATGCATGAATCAAGTGACAGAATAAATAATTTGAAAGATTAGAAAAAAATGTAAAAACTAAACAAATTAAAAATGATGTTTATTAATATTTAAAAATAAGATAACATATTAATAGTACATGTGTAACATCGAAAACACTGGCCTCTTCAAAAGTGTTGTCTCCAGAAAGTAATTTTTAAACTCATATTATTTTATTATTTCTATAAGTCCTGCCCTCAATTACATAGAGCAGCAACATTACCTTAGACACGGTTCGCTTACAACTCAATGTAGAAATTCTTTGTTGATGAAATACGTTGCATTTTTCGTGGCCGTGCCAACTTTACTCTTATTACTTTTTTTGCTGTAACGTAGAATCAATTCATTCAAGTTATAATGTTATCAATTATAATATGCATGCACCATGCGTCTATCCAGACATAAAGTTATAAATTAACTAACGTCAACTACTCATAAACTATCATTTACTCATAAACATTTAATGATAATAAAAAAATTTCAAAATGAAAATTCGTAGGTTGGAAAATTTTAATAAAAAAATTTCAACCTACGATTTCCGTTTACTAATTTGACAACATAAAAGTCCAATTATTTCAGTTTAATGAAGCATCCAGGTATT